TTGCTACATAGGCTCCAGAAAGGACAGTTGGTGTCACTTTCTGCTACAAGGCCCAGGACATCCTTGCACAGCACTTCTCTCTGTCACTCTGACAGCAGATTCTGGCATTCTGTCTTGTTTTGCATTACAAACATTGAACAGTTGTGCCCCCTCCCCCCCATTTCTGAATTGCCTTTCTCAGCCCTTGCTCATTTTTGGTTTATTTTTTTATTGAGGCAAAATTGTTTTATGATATTGTATATGATTCAGGAGTACAGGATCACACCTCTTCAGATATATATTACCACACCACACCCATCACCAAGGCACCCATGGTCCTTTGCTTTCTATCTTCCTCCTACCACCATCAGGTAGTCTCAATATTTGCTGTTTTTTTAAACTTTTTTTTTTTTTAAAGATTTATTTATTTATTCGTACAGAACTGGGGTACAGGCCAGAGATGCGGAGGGTGAGAGGATTCACCCGAGACAGAGTGGGAAGCAGAACAGGCAGATCGACGAGGTATACTGCTGAGGGGAGCAGTGGGCGGGTCAGGAGAGGTCTGCCGCGCCATGTGGTCACCTCCAGGGCAGGCGGGTATTGAACTCATGCGGAAGTGGCTTTAGTTTCTCAGTGCAGTGCTTTAACCCGCTGCGCCACCTGGGAGGGCCAATATTTGCTGTTTTTAATCAGAACGTCTGTCCATTTTACCTGTGACTTAATAAAAACCCTTTATCCTGTCCTGGTCCTTCTCTCCACAAGGTTTACCTTAACTGTGGTTCAGAAAGCTCAGACTGGGAATTGGAAGGAATTGGAGACTGGCAATTCAGGGAGGGTAGGAATACAGGTGTTTTCCTGATACTTTTTCAAGCACCATGGTGTTAAATCATAGCTTCCTCACTTGTCCAGTTTGGGCAGCCTTCAGAAGGGCTGTGGAGTTAGCTGAGGGGGAACTAACTTGAGCAGATACATCTCTAGGCTGTGTTTTTGCATCAGTGTCTAGTTTTCCAAGAAGGAAGTCAGACCCGGATGTCTTCTTGTGCAACATGCCTAACTTCCTGTAAAACTTGGCAAAAGCTCTGAAAAACACATCTTTCATGGGGTCTGGGTTATTTTTGGGGAAGCAGGCTGCAGTGGTTTTCAGGTCTGTTTATATGTTCAAGTCCAGCCCTCCATAGTTGACTAAAACACCCTAACATGTAATCGTGTGTGCACTTTTCCTCAGACAAGCCTGCACATGGGACTATCCTCTGTCCAGCCTGGACTATTTCTGTAAGGTGTGAAGTAAGTTAGGGACATGCTGCCTGGGTGCCCCTTAAGCTCTGCCTTTCAGGTTATGTGACCCTGGCCTGGGCAAGGTGACCTTAATCTCCTCTCAGTAGTAATAGTAGTATTACCTGCCCCAAGGCATTGTGGGAAGAATTAAAGGAGGTACTGAATAGAAAAAATGAACATTCAATAGTGTGATCTACTATGTACCAGGGTAAGGAATTGCAGATTTTTTTTCCCAAAAGTTTTAAACAAAAACAAATTTGCTTTAAACACATCCATTTGGAACCTGTCAACCCATGCTCTGTTTGCATGAGAGTGTGTGCTTTCCTGGCAGAGGGGGAATTTTGTTTCAGTTATATTTAGAAACAGTCCTGCCCATGGGCAGAAGTAGGGGTCAGGATTAGGGGTGACTGGAGCCCTGATCCTTGGAGGGACATCCTTCCAAAGTGGTTCTGTGTTCTCATTTCAAGCTGGTTTTATCCTGGTGTTAAAATCACATGTGTTCACAGGATTGTGGGGTTGTCTAGTCCTCTTGGAAGAAGGAGAGGACCATATTTTCACTGTCCTCCCCTCCCTGTCATCCCCACTTGTAAGTTGCATCTGAACTGGGGGGAGAACCTAGAGACCACAGGAACTTTCTTTAATGTTGGAAGTCTTGATAAAAGTCAAAAAGAAAGTTTCAGTGAAGCTCATCAATAATTCACATACAACCAAGTTGAAGCTGTTGTCTGCACTGTGGATGGAAGAGGATACCAGCCTAGCCAGACTTTTGCTCATGTCCTTGAAACCATCTCTAGACTGTCTGCAGCCTTTTATACTAAAAATGGTTCCCCAGCCTACCCACTTTCTGCCGATACCCAGACAACGGGTATCACTTTGGGATCAGATATGGTGGGAAGCTGCCAGCTTTCAGCACACAGCTCTCTAGTGGCTGTGACCACGTGCTGCATGTGGCTGAGATCTATGCAGTGGCTAGCCATGGACTGACTGCCCATAACTGGGGAGTTGATGGCATGGGTGGACTGTGTTTTCAGATCTGTCATAATGGCCTGTCCAGCAGCTTGCAGGTGTGAGTGCACCATCTATGTGGAAGTAGTATAGTCAGAGGAAGTGCCATTTATATCTGGTGTTTTCCCTCTCTGTTTCTGCAGTCCCTAAGAGTGTGAGACTTCTACCTGCTGTTGTCCTGTCTTAACCTAAACCAATAGCAGGGTTGGAGGGGTAGTTGAGGCTAGCTCGTGATTTTCCTCAGTTGTAAGTCATTTGGGAGCCACTTGACTGTGTGTACTTCCTCAGCACAGACACTCATATGCTCTGCTGCTTCATTGCCTACTTAGGACATTTGGGGACTCTTGATTGTGGATATTGTAGCTCAGAAGCATTTGGGAAGTTTTAGACAATTGTGAATCTTGTATGCCTCAAATGCTGTAACTCTTTTTTTCCCATTTATATTATAGTTGCTTGAAAACTAATGTCTGCCATGAGCCTTAACAAATATCCCACTGGAAATGTATTCAGAACTGAACCAGTGATTGTTGGTAGGACAGGGACCTTCGTACTGTGAGCTGGGTGGTCTCTGCATTCCAGTCTTGTGAGCCAGTTCGTGTTGTATCGTTTGGATCTGGTCTTTGTCAGCCTTTTTAATCAGCTTGAGGATAGCTTTGCTTTCTATGTCCACCTCACTTATATGGGGAAATGTGTTTTTAAAGCATTCAGAGTTTTAAACTTGAGGTCACACAGGTGTGAGGGAGGAAATTGCTGCCCAGGGTCCTAGGAGTTTAGGGTGACAGCCTCCCCAGCACTGGTGAAAGCAGACTCTGGTAAGAGCGGTTGCAGTTGCTCCTATTTTTCTCCCTGGTGTCATTACTCCCCAATCTCTAGCTTTCCTTGATTTTCATTTTGTCATATGCTTTTTCTGCCTTTTTAGGATCCCCCCTGCTCCCTTTATTTTTGTTTTGACTTTACTTTTCCCTTTCAGATCTTTATGTTCTTACCCTGTTTTCATTCTGTCTTGGGGGTGGTCTTGGTACTTTCACTTCTTTAGACATTTGCAGGTGTGGCCAACCCCCAGAGAAGCGGACTGTGATCCTGGTGTTATTTTTAACTTGAAATAACTCTTAATAGCATGGTGATATGCAAGTGTTGGGCTGGTTCAAATACAGTGATCAGACATTGGAAGACATTCCCTTCCCCCGTTTTATGCATTATGAGAAATCAGAGAAAAATATTTAAATAGTCACTCTGTCACCACTTAATGTGGTATTCATTTCCTGTTCTTTGTTCTCTAACCATTCACACACCTGTTCAGAGGGCTTCCCTGGTGGTGTAGGGGTTAAAGTCAGCACTATCAAGCTTTGTTAGCTGCTGTGGCTGCTTGCTCTCGATCCCGGCCTGGGAAGTGACCCACATGGCACACCAGACCTCTCCTGTCTCCCCTGTTGTTTCTCTCAGCAGTGTATGTCAGTAGATCTGCCTGTCCTTTTTTTTTTTAAAGATTTATTTACTTATGCATACAGAATTGTGGTACAGGCCAGAGGTGTGGGGTTGGCGAGAGGATTCACCAGAGACAGAGTGGGGAGCAGAACAGGCAAATCGACTAGATACACTGCTGAGGGGAGCAGCGGCGAGACAGGAGAGGTCTGCCACGCCATGTGGGTCATCTCTCTGTCTGGGGATCGAACTTGAGCTGATTTGGCTGTGGCAAGCTTCGCAGTGCTGCTCTTTAATCCATTGCACCAACAGGAGATCCCATAGGTCTGTCTGTTCTGCTCCCCACTCTGTCTCTGGTGAATCCTCTTACCCCCTGTCACCTCTGGCCTGTACCCCAGTTCTTGTACGCATAAATAAATAAATCTTTTTTTTAAAAAATAAACATTTAAGGGTGATGTTACTTTTCACTTGTCTTTGGTCACTAATCAGCAGCAGGTTTTCCAACCTCCATGCAGTATGACACCAACGTGTGTAGGCCTTTACAACCAGTATTTGCAGTTGGCATCTCCCCATCTGGAGACAGTCACTGAGGTCAGGAAGAGGCCCTGGACATGGTGAGAAGGGAGGGCCTGGCTGCCATCCTGTCTGGATTCAGGAGTGACTTTGTGTGGCTTCCATCAGCCATGTGACCTGCTCCCCTCCCCCTTTGAGGTGGTCATATCCTCAGAACAGCAGCTTCCTGAGGATCTGGTAACTGGCACCTTGAGTGTCTTTTGTGCCAAGCTGAGGACTTTGAACTTCCTGCCTGCAACTGTGGGAGTGTTCACTGCTAGCTCCTCTTCTGGATGGGCCCTGTCGGTGCAGCTGCATTTGCAGTCCCTGGTGCCTGCTGAAGGATGTAATGGGTGTGGACAGACGTGGGGCAGGGAGAGCAGCCTGAAGCTTGCATATCTGGTGACTCATGATGACATGCAGGAGCAATGTTCTCATTCTGGAGCCAGAGTAGTGTCTGAGAAGACAAGTGTCTTTTCCTCTTGGCTCTGCACAAATTAGTATCCCATGGTTCAGAGTGGGATCAGCTCTGAGTTGCCATTCCACCTGAGACAGCTGTACTGTTTGTGCAGGACTTGGGACTTATTAAAGAGTATCAGCATTCTCTTCTCCTAAATGGAGTATGTGTGATACCAGTATCTGAAAATAACCTAAAGTTTCTGTGCTGAGGGCATGGGCTGTTCATGACCTCACTGTTGGTCATGACCAGCCATGAGGGAATACTTCTGTTTAGAGCGGTTCTGACCACTCTCTGGTTTTGTTTACAGATTCCAACTGGAAATCCATTATATGAATCTTATTATAAGCAGGTAAGTCTCACTGAGTCTTTTTGGGTTGACCAGGAAAGCTGCGTCTGAAATCAAAGCCAGTGTGGCCTCTAGCCCCTTCCTGTTCTTTGTGTTACCAGTTTGCAGTCTGTGTGATGGTTGCTGCTTCATCTGCTGTTCTTTTGGCTCATGGTTTCGCCCTGTAATTACAGGTAGATCCGGCATACACAGGCCGGGTTGGGGCTAGTGAAGCTGCGCTTTTTCTGAAGAAGTCTGGACTCTCAGACATTATCCTTGGGAAGGTATGTGAAGAGCAGCTGGACGTTCTCTTTTGTGGTGCCCTTCAGGTTCCCTGGCACATGAAGGCCAGCTGTGCAGACCCTTCCTTGTGGGGCCATCCCTCTATTGGCATGGGGTTTCCGGCCTGTAACTGGTGGATCCACGTGCTCTGATGGCACTACTCACCTGCTGCTTAGGTAGCAGTCTTGAGGCCCGAGTACTTTTGGAGTCTTGACTGATTACAGATTCATATTGGGGATCCAAGGTATAATCAATCCTGTTAGCTTTGGAATGTCATGGTGTTCTCTGCCACTGACTGGCTGTGGCAGGTTCCTTCCCCACAGCCTGTGTGCTTGGTTTGGGAATAAATGTGCAGTGATTTGCAGTCATACTCACCAGCATTTTTGTGTTTTTGCAGATATGGGACTTGGCTGACCCAGAAGGTAAAGGGTTCTTGGACAAACAGGTATATACACGTGTGTACAGAGGAGTGGAGAGGCTGACTGGTCACTCTGCATTCCTTCCTGGTTATCTGCATTGACAAGTATCGCTAGTCATAAGTGTGACTGTCACTGTTAAAATGAAAAGGTTTTTTTGAAATAAAGGTCTTTTGAACACTTTGGAGCCATCTTTTATGGTTAGCATATCTTTTAATATTTTGTGTGCTTATAGGTGATTAAAATGCGTTCAAGTCAAATAACTTGACTCATGAAGGTTGCAAGATTGTTCAGAGAGTTTCAGGGTCTTTCCTCTGTTCTCCGTGGAGCATGGCACCTGGAGCTGGTGAAGCTTTGAATCAGAGGACCTCTGCAGCACTGATCCCGTCTCACATGTATTTTCTTGTCCCCAAATAAGGTCGTTTTCAGTATTGTTGCAGCAGTAATGAGAGAAAAAGAAAAACCAAATTATTCTAGCTAATGTTGAAGAAAATGACCTTACTTGGGACCCATTTTTGTTACATGTTGTTTTGCCTCAAGTTGCAGTTTCCAAGAACCTTTGATGACATTGAGGACACGGTAGAGTTCTGTGTCGTTTTGTCACTTGCATAAGTTTATGTAACCTATGTAACACAGCCAGGACACAGAACTCTCCAGTAACCCAAAGATTCTCCCCTGTGCTGGCCCCATTGGTCACATCTATCTCCTGTTTCATTCTGCATCATAATTTTGTCATTTTGAGAATGGTCTGTGAGTGGAAAGTTACATACAAATGATTTTAAGTGGCCATAGTTTAATTTAGTTCAGCTTTCTTAAACTGTATTTCCAGGATGTTGTGCCCAGAGTCCCCTGATCTGACCTGTTGGTGAACCAAACTTTATTCCCTTCATGAGTTTCACTGTGCACACCTGCCTGTGACAGGTCCCTCGGGTCTCTGTGGAAGAGAAACCAGTTAATTTTGCTGATGTAGCTCCTCTGAATTTCCTTAGTTCCCTTTTTTACTGTTCTGCGAGCGTGTTGTGTGGACACAGCCTGAGATAAAATGGTTGGCACTTCTCTCTTTGTAGAAGTTATAAAAACTGAACTGTGTATGGATAGCTTTAAAACCCTGCATATTCTCAGGCCATTTGACCAATTAAAAACAATTAGGTGATGTTGCAAGTCCACTAATTGGTGTAGGAAATTCTGGGTTAGGAGAATGCTAAGTTCAGATCCTTTGTGCCAGTAATGAGAGTTGAATGCACAGCAGACCTCAGGGTTGGGATGGGCATTGAGGGGTGCTCTGTTCATTGAGACCAAGGGGAGCATAGTGCATTGAGAATGTTAGTTCCCAAACAGCTCTCTGTGTCAGATAATTTTTAAAAGATCCTTATGTATTTGAGCTATCATTTATAGTCTTAAATACACGAAGTCTGCTACTTACACAATTTAGTGTTTCCTAAATGTCAAGAAATCATTCTTTTTGTAATTTTTCAAATTACACTGATTTGTAATTTTATGGCTTTCAGAAGGTGATGGGCCAGAGTCCATTTTAGTATATTCATTTGTGCAGTGTTTCTAATAAAACCCTTTCAGCCCCATCCACAGATGACTTTCCCACGGTCTTTATTGTAAAATGAGTGAAAGTCCTCTTTTCCTGCAGCCCAGTCCTGTTAAGTGGTGTTTATGTTACACCTGTTTTGGATTTACAGGGATTCTATGTTGCACTGAGACTAGTGGCTTGTGCACAGAGTGGCCATGAAGTTACCTTGAGCAATCTGAATTTGAATATGCCGCCACCTAAATTCGTAAGTGTCTGTACCATTCAACTTCATATTCTTCAATTTCATCTTGTTCAAATACCATATGTATCTATGTTTTCGCTCTCATTTTTAAAAAAATGAGGTGAAATTTACACAACCGAAGAATTATTTTCCAGTGAACAATTTTGTGGCATGAGGCCCATTCACAATGTTGTGCAATCATCACTTCTGCTGGTTCCAGAACATTTCCATCACCCCGAAAAGAAAACCCTGTTTCTGGGTGACTTGATGGGAAACCCACGGGGATTACAATTGAGATGAAAAAAAAAAAAAAAAAGATGTACAAATGATGTAAAAATAAACTATTATTAAAAAAAAAAAAGAAAACCCTGTTTCCATTAAGTAATCACTGTTTCCCCTTTCCCAGCTCCTGGCCGCCATTTATCTGCTTCTGTCATTTATTGACTTGCCTGTTCTAGATATTTGGTGGAATCATAAATTGTGGCCTTTTGTGTCTGGCTTTTCTCAGCATAGTGTTTTCAAAGTTCACTCATGTCTAATCTGTGAAGGTTTCATCCCTTTTCATTGCTGGCTATAATGGTATTGTATTGTGTGAACTCCCCTTGTTTAGTCAGTATTTGTACCCACATTTTCTCTTCTCTTGGGTCTCTACCTAGGTGTAGACTTGTGGACTCTTATGGTAATTCTGCATAATTGTTTAGGTTTTTCCCTGTTTTGAAATATGTATCCTTTCAGTGAACATGTAGTCCTGTAATTTCTCTGTATCAGCCACAATGGAGTATTGCTCTTTCTTCCCAGCATGACACCAGCAGTCCTTTGATGGTCACCCCGTCGTCTACAGAGCCCCATTGGGCTGTCAGGGTAAGTAAGTGAGGCTGTCCTTCATGTTCTAAGACCAGGCATTTATGATCTTGTTTGAACATTTCACAGTGATTATGTCATCAGTTATATATCAGAGTGAGTGTGCCATGGAATTTGGATGAAATACTTTTTCAAACTAAAAGACTTTCAGAAAGGCTGTGGTCCTGTGTTATAATGAATGGATGCTATCTGCTAAGGTAGCTAGCTGAGTTTCAGGAGCAAACTCTTAGAAAGTTTTTACAGTTTAAATCTTGTATTAAGTCTTTTTGTTGGCTTGGTTTCATTAGGAGAGGAGAAATTGTGAGAATTTCTCAACATTGTTTTTTCTTTCTGAAAAGCTGCTGTCAGCAGTTAAAGTATTTTTTTTTAAGACAGCGGCTGTTGTTATAACAGCTGTGTTACTGCTTCTAGAAAAAAAGAATATAAGAGGTATAGTGTTACTCCCAAAGAAAATGTGTGGGACTCAGAACTGGTCTCCAAAGGCACCTCTCACTCCTTGACCCAAGAGGACTGTCACTTCTGCTCACTGTTATTTGACTTTAAATGCCTCACGTTAATAACAGTTTTCAACCATCCCTGCCTCCTGCTGCTCCCCCCAAATGTTCTGTCCTGTGTTTACCCAGCCAATCTGTTCCTTCCTGGAAAGGTTTGTATGGGGAGGTCTGGGCCGGATGCGCAGGATAAGGCTGATAGGTTGAAGAGCCTGGAGTCACCTCTGCTACAGTCTAGCATTTTGTAGGCTGTGGTCACAGTACCAAGGACTTCTTTCTCTGTTGTCTTCCCATCCATGATGCCCATCATGAAAAAAACTGCTTTGTCATGAAAAATGACTTCAAGGATACCCGATCCCTTGAACATTTGGGCCCCTTCTGGTAGTACAATGCTGAGGCCTCATGAGGATAGCATGTGGGGAGGGCACTTCAAAGAGGGGGTGCGGAGAGCAGTAGGGCAGAACAGCGCTGTTGTGGGGCGGGCCATTTTCAAGAGAGATTTAGTATTCTGTGTGGAAACAGTGAAAAACCATTCTGAAATGCCAAGTGTTGTTCTTCCTTTGAAGTTTCTTGGCTGTACTTACAGAGGCTGAGGGGTTGGGTGGGTCCTAGACACCCCTGGGCCTGGGCTTCTCACCATGTGTAGCTGTGCATGTGTTCAAGGTCTGCTTGTGTGCTCCTTTTAATTTTCAGTTGTGGTAAAATTGATAGAACATCAAATTTATCACCTCAGCCACTTGTAAGCGTGCAGTTCAGTGCTATTAAGTTCATTTATGGTGGTGTGTGATCATCACCACTACCCAACTCCAGAACTTTTCCTCATTTTTCAATCTAAAACACTGTCTCCATTAAACACTCTCCTTCCCCTCCCCCCCCGCCCCCATCATCCTATTTTCTGTCCCTAAGCATTTGACTCCTCCAGGGACCTCAAATAAGTAGAATTACAGTATTTGTCCTTTTTTTTTTTTTTTTTAAAGATTTATTTATTTATTCATACAGAACTGGGGTACAGGCCAGAGGCTCAGGGGCGGTGAGAGGCTTCACCAGAGACAGAGTGGGGAGCAGAACAGGCAGATGGACGAAGTACACTGCTGAGGGGAGCAGCGGGCGGGTCAGGAGAGGTCTGGCTCGCCATGTGGTCTCCTCCGGGGCAGGCGGCAGGCGGGAATCGAACTCATGCGGAAGTGGCTTCAGATTCTCAGTGCTGCGCTTTAACCCGCTGCGCCACCAGGGAGGGCCGCAGTATTTGTCCTTTTGTGTCTGACTTATTTCACTGAGCATGATGTCCTCAAGATTCATCTATATTGTTGCCTGTGTCAGAATTTCCTTCCCTTCTAAGGTTAAATAATACTGTGTGGATGGGCCACAGTTTGCTTATCACGTGATCCTTAGATGTACAAGTGGTAATTGTGTTTACTTTAGCGCCCACCTGACTGCAGCTTGTGTCAAAGTGGGAAGTACGACTCTTGCTGTCCCCAGCCCTGCTGCTCCCAAGGGAGACTGGAGGCCCCAGGCCCTCATGTCCCAAAGTTCCTTGGACATATCCCTTTCGTCTATTCATAGTCTACTGAGCAGTAGCTGTGCATTTGCATGTAAATCCTGTAGAAAGCATTGTTGTTCATGAAGAGCTTTCAGCATTTATTCTTCATGGGTAGACACAGAGGACTTCCTGTGCTTAGAATTAATTTTGATAAGTAGTTGCTTACATTTTGATCTGTTTTTATAGCTATTTCTTTAGTTCCTTGAGTTATGTAGGTTGATACGTAGAGTTAGTTTGTTTGCCCTAAAGAATTAAAATCACTCCTCTTGTGTCTTTCTTAGTGAGCTCCTGAGAGATAAGTAGGGGTGATCTTGTCTCCCAGGCAGCCCTGGGTTGGAGAGCGAGGCCTGGGTGAGGGCCCCTCTTTTCCCTGCTGGCCCTGGCTACCAGAGGGTAGCTGGTGGAGCTATTTTACTGTGGCAGCCCTGGGGGCTGAGGTTCCTGTGAGATTGTTCTATGCTTTAGACGTCTTGCTACCCGTTTTCACTCAACTGCAAGTCAGAGCTTATTTGAACTTTCGCATAGGTTCACTTTGACTCACTGAGTGCTTTCTTTCCCTCTAGGTGGAAGAAAAGGCCAAATTTGATGGAATCTTTGAAAGTCTCCTTCCTATAAATGGTCTGCTTTCTGGAGACAAAGTCAAGCCAGTCCTCATGAACTCCAAGCTGCCTCTTGACGTCCTGGGCAGGGTAAGTGGGCCAAAGGTTCTATTCCTGCATGTTCTGCATGGCCCATGTTTAGAACAAGTTTTATGCTTTTAAAAAAACCTGTTTGTCCTAATTAAGTGCAATTTTTTTTTAAAAGATTTATTTATTTGTGCATACAGAACTGGGGTACAGGCCAGAGGCTCAGGGGCAGTGAGAGGCTTCACCAGAGACAGAGTGGGGAACAGAACAGGCAGATCAACGAAGTACACTGCTGAGGGGAGCAGCAGGCGTGTCAGGAGAGGTCTGCCACGCCATGTGGTCACCTCTGGGGCAGGCAGGAATCTAATTCATGCAGAAGTGGCTTTAGATTCTCAGTGCTGTGCTTTAACCCGCTGTGCCACCAGGGAGGGCCTAAGTGCAATTTTTTTAGTTATAATTTTCAAATGAGATTCATGTTACAAACCCACGTTTGTACACAAAGCTCCATACCTCTTGGCTGTCTCTGGGCTGAGGTCTGAATCTGGAACTCAGAGGGGAAGGTTGTCTTTCTGGACAAAGCAGGTGCAGGCCCAGGCAGCAGCAGGACCCAGGATGGCCCCTGCTGCCTCTGGGTCTAGCATATGACCTTTGGTGGTATCTACAGGATGCAGTAAAGTATTACTGCCCCCTCTGGTTCTCCTGATACATTCTTGCTTGAATGTTTGCAGACACCCACCCATTTCATCTGTTTAGGTAGAGCCCATCTTGATGCTTTGTTTTGAAATGAGGCCACTAAGAAAGAGGATCTCTCAGATCCTTTTGTCTTCCTCTTGGCCTTGCCTTTAAGTGCTTACCAGGAGTGTTAGCAGCTATGAGTGTTAAATTGCAGCAGGGTAAAGTGGCGTATTTGTGAGTCTGTGTGTGGCACTCCTTCAGTAGCTGACAATTGGACATACTAATGTTGTACAGCTAAATTGAGAACAAAACAGACTGAGTGGGCTTTATTGGAAGGCGCTGTGGCCACAACGGAATTGACACTGGGTCATCGCTTCCTTTCCTCTCCTCTTGGCACTCACCGCCCGCCCACGCATCTGTGCTTGAGTGCATGGCGATCTGTGCGTGCCCGTCTGCGGCGCAATGCCCGCGTGCCCTTGCGGACCCTTTCCTCCTTACCCGTCACTGGGAACTCGCGCACCCCTGCAGCCTCTCTCATCTGGGCTCCATCATCGCGGAGCCTCAGCTGGTGTAGCCGTGTGCACGTGCCTTTACCTAAGCATTTGTGTACTCAACTTGGGTCACTCGGCAAGCTTTTTTTTTTTTAATCTATATTTTTCCTCTTAAGCTTTTCTAAAAAAAAATTTATTTATTTTTTTATCGTCTCTTCCAAACCATACCCCATTTGCTGCTGTGCCTCATCTCCTTCCATCCTTTCCCCTATTCCTTTTGGTAACCATTATTTTCTTTTTTGCTGAGTTAAATTTTTTCTTTCTTATATTGTTTGCCTGTAATTACTTTCTGGATGTTTATATTCTGCATGTGAATGAGACCATCCAAAATCTTTCACTTTTTGGCTGTTTTCATTCAAAATTGTCACCTCAAGGTCCATCTATTTTGTGCCAAGCCAGCAAGCATTCTTCTGCCTGCTCTGAGCCAGACCTTGTACTGTTGTACTGAACCCTGGGGGGTGTGGTGGTGGAGGGCTGTGGAAGAGGATTGGATCGGTTCAGGAGGTCAAATAAATAAATAATGGTTACTATCCTAATATTTATTGAGGCCTCCATATGGGTCAGTCCCTGCGCTTGTACTCTGCATGAATAAATACTTACCACCATTCTGTGAAAATGGTGTCACCTGTTTTCCAGATGATGAAGCAGGGCCTTCAGAGTGACTTATATGTTGCCCAGGGTCACACCAAAGGTATGAGGTCCTGGGTGGTCCCCAGAGATCCTCATGCAGCGCTCCCCTTTCCTCCTCCCCAGTAGTCATGATTCTGCCTGGAGAGGACAGTGAGAGAATAGGGTGCCTGCTTTGTTTGAGCAGATAGATGCAGGGTAGGGGTAGGCTTCATAACATAGGTGTCCTAAGTTATGTCCCCCAGAGTGAGACCGGTGGCAGAGAAGTGTTGAGAAGGTGGGCATATAACAGTGTGAGCAGAGGCAGCTTGGCGTGCTGGGTAGGGGCCAGCATTCTCCCCCAAAGGACATTGACAGTGTTCGAAGTCAGTTTTAGTTGCCACATCTGTGTTGGTGCTGCTGCCATCAGGTAGCTGGAAGCCAAGGATGCTACTCAGTACCCTGAAGCACTCAGGATGCCTCACAGAATGATCAGCCCCAAATGTTGGTGGTGCCAAAGTTATGCTCAGGCAGGGGCGAAGGGCCGTGGAGACAGGAAGGCCCATTCTGTCCTGCTTCTCCCACATAGGCCTTATTTGTGGGAAAGGGACTCTTCTGATACTCTGCTTCCTGACTTGAGATGACAGGTATATAGACTCAGCCTTGTGCCTATATCTCTGAAGGGGTATCTGTACACTTGACAGAACTGGAAGCAGATTGGGGTCCCTATCAGGAGGCCAGAATACAGGGATCCCCTAAGGGCATGAGGTGGGGTGTTAGGGTGAAGTTCTCTGTGCCAGACTGGGGGCAGGGTCTGGACCTGTGAGCACAGCTCAGTGCATTCTGGAGCAGAACCCATACAACCGTCCAGCAGGGCTAGAGGCAGGCTGACGTTGCTTGTGACCTTGTGACTGATTGATACTGGCATGTGCAGCATCACAGATAGACCCCAGGGGTTCACTTACTTAGCTGTAGTCAGTGGTGTCATGCTCAGAATTGATGCTGGTCCAGGAGGGTTGGGTTGTCTTGAGAAAATAATGCCTACAGCCTCTGTCCTGTCAAGGAATCCATATCTCCTGCCTCATCTTTAGGATAAAAGTTTGCCCAGCACATTCTGTGACACCTGCCTTATCATCCATGATAGGGGGACGAGAGAGACCCTAGAAGCTACCCCAGTGTGTGTTTACCACCTTGTCAGTGCACATGGGGATAGAACTCTGTGTGTGCATGCTACGCTGCGGACTTATGTTCAAAGTAGCATCTGCAGCAAAGCTAAGCCATCTTTTCCATTTAAGCAATCTTTGTAAGATAGTAAAGAAGAAATCAGGGCGGATATGATTATAATCACTATCATTTGTTAGAGAAAATGAACATAACAAGGTGGGAAAGATTTGCAATTATAGTATTCTTTGATGGTTTATAAAAGGCCACAGACTTTGTAAAATGCATTTTAATGGTGTTGTCTTAACCCAGCACTCAGAATCTTGAGTTCTGACTACACAGGGTCCTTCTAGCCTCAGTATTCCTTGGTCCCCCTGATCTACCCTCCTGTAAGCCTTGGCAACCCATAAATGTTGGTCTCCCCAGTAAGCCTGGCTTTTTCCTTGCAGGTCTGGGACTTGAGTGACATCGACAAGGATGGACACCTGGACAGAGATGAGTTTGCTGTGGTACGCCCTGCGTCACTCCTTCCACTCTGCCGAGGGGAAGATGGGCAGCTCATGGGAATTCTAGACTCATTTTTTCTTTCTTTTGATAAGCCTGTTTTGACATAATTTGAATTTAAGTAAAATTGCATTAGTAGAGAATTATTTTGAATGACCTTACTCAGAGCTCCAGTGGTAGGATTTTGCCACATTGCTCTATTCTTCTCACTCTGTTCCCTCCTGTTGTCCCTCTCTTTCCATGTATGTATATACGTGCACAAGTGTGAGTTTCCTTTGACTGCTTGAAGTCTTTATCCTCAAATATTTCTGTTTATTTCCTAAAGCCAGGGATTCTCTAATATAAACATTGTACAATTCAAAGTCAGAAAGTTAACATTGCTATCATCTAGTTGATTGTCTGTTATCATAGGTTACATCTTATCCATCACTGTGTCTATTGTATCATCTTACTACCTAACCTAAGGGTATTTTCAGATTTCTGTCAGTGACTTAAAAAATGCTCTGTAAGAAGGAGACTCCAGTCATGTGTCTGAGGTTCTGTGGCTCTGTCTGCCGTGTCGTCTAATCTGGAGCAGCTTTAGGTTTGTCTTGGTTTCATGGCCATGTTGGTATTTTGAGGAGCACAATCCAGCGATGTATAGAGCAGCGATGTATCTTCGGTGTGGAGTCACCTGTTCCTTTGAGGATCCAGGTTGTGCACATTCCTGAGGCGAGACCCCCAAGTTTCCCTGGGGTGTGTGGCATTGACAGAACCTATGTGATGTCTCATTCCATGTCTCTTTACCATGGTGTCACCTCAGTTGTGGTCAGTGTGGAGGCTTGATTCTTCCAGTGGTTTCTCTTCTCCCCTGTATACTCGTCAGTTCTCTGGGTTCAACTTCTTTATCCTTCTCACTATCCCACTGATTCTCACTTGAATGATTCCCTCGAATCAGTCAGGATTGTGGTAATTGTATATGGCTACTGTCTAATTCTGTCCTTTCTGTGTGTTTTCTAGTTGGCCTATGGCCAAAGGGGATTTTTTTGGTATCTGTGTGGACTCAAGGATGTGTATTCTGTTTCTTGCTTTATAATTTTTGGAGCAATTTATTTTGCTTGGAGGGAGCTCCCCCAGCTGCCCCTTTGTCCATCATTTTCTGGGCACTTCCTCCTAGCTCTTCTGATCCTCTGGCCTTTACTTTCTTAAGGGTGCTCCAGTCCTTAGAGGGGGAGTGAGGTTTCAAACTGGGGTCTGGGTGCTAGGGTGCTCAGTGCTCCTGGGTGCCATGGCCTGCAGGCCCTCCTGTCAGAATTGAGAGGTATGTTTGTGCACATGTCCCCAGGGAGTGTTCTCAGCCCTCTGCCTTCACATCTGCCTGTCCATGCCGAGCCTAGCATACCCACCACTTCTCTTCTTAGGGCTGCCTTTGTGCTGTGTGTAGGTGGGGGCGCCTTTAGCCCGGGACTGCCTATCCCCATGGCTGCCCTCTCTCCACACCCTGTTGCAGCACCCTGTGGGCGCTCCTTTTCTCCCCCCGGCCTGGCCAGCCATCCTGTGCCTCCTGCTCCTGTCACCTCCTCACTTGCATCTCTGACCTTTCTGCTATTCTGTTCTTACTGTTCTTACTCCACGCTATTCGATCTCTAAGAAGTAGAATAAAGTAGCCTGGTAGTTAAGGATAAAGCTTTATTAAGTGTTAATTATGTTTAATCATACTAAAAAAGCTATGAATTATTTAGGAATTTGTAATAATTGGGAAATGATGACATACAACAGTCTTTCTGAAATACATTTCTGTTCCAGGAATTTAAAAAAAATGTTTAAAATATGAGTTTACAGTGTACATGAGTGAAACTGTAATGTGTGTAAAGCCTATATGATTTTAAAATTTTAGGTTAAAATTTTAAATCATTTTTCTAAGGACCTGATAAATTTTTCTTAGAATTTGCTTCATGTACTTCATATTCACCATTACTAATCTTATATATTTTCCTCACCTACAGACTTTGTTCAGCTTTCTCAACTCTGAGCATTTTTCATGTTTCTTTGTCATTCTGTTTTCATTGATTAGTCTTAAATAATGTAAAGTACTTATTACATATACTGTGTCATCTTAACCTTTTGTAAATCTCTAACTCAATGGTATTAAGGCACATTTCTTATCTCTAGCTTCCTTCTCCGGAACTCTCATCTTTCTAAGCTAGAACTCTGTTTCTGTTAAACCACAGCACCCCACTCCGTTCCTCCTCACTTATTTTTTATACCTTTTGTCCTGGAACATTCCTGCTTAGTGTACTGAACTACGCCTGGGATTGTCCCCAGGAATCGGGGGATAGGCCCCTGTGAACCAGGCACAGGTTGCTACTTAAGCCACATGAACCCCAAGTTTATGGTTTTGTTTTATCATTTCTCATTTCATGGTGTTCTGTGATTGGACCTTAGGATTAATGTTAATTTGCATTTCATTTCTTTTTTTTTATTTATATATATATTTTTTCATTTCTTTTTATGAACTGAGTCTTAATATATTTTGCAGTGTTTCTAATTGACTGTAAATTTTTACCTATGTTTTGCTCTCTATGCCAAAAACAACTTAAGGAATGATTTGAAGAAGGAAGGGTTGTAATTTTGGTTTGGTTTTGTTACATTTTAAACAGGGTTTTAGTTTTTTTTTTAAAGATTTATTTATGTGTATAAGAACTGAGGTACAGACCAGAGGTATGGAGGGTGAGAGTATTCACCAGAAACAACTGAAATTACACTGCTGAGGGGAGCAGTAGGCGATAACAGGAGAGTTCTGCCATGCCATGTGGGTTACTTCCTTGTCGGCAATCGAACTTATGCTGCAGTGGCTTTGGAGAGCTTCATAATGGTGTGCTTTAATGCATTGCACTATTAGGGAGCGCCCCATAAACAGGTCTTAAACTTATATTTTAAAGAATGTTTTTTTTCACCTGCCTGCTGGGAATAGCAGGGTCTCTGGGGGCACAGCAGCCCTTTCCAGTAGTTTCTGTATGTCCCAAATATCTTGGAGAACATGCAGCTCTCTGATGTGAGCTAGAAAGTTTTAACACCTTGGAAGCCATCAGACTGGAGCTTATGGCTTTCTTGTGTGGTCAGGGACAGGTGGATACTGTCATGGTTGATTTCCTTTTGTCTTGTGTGATTAAACAAATGTCTTAGAAATTAATGTATTAGAAACATTAAGATTTATTTTTATCCTGATCAGTTTGGAAGCAGCCTCAGAAAGCACAGTCCTTGTCACAACATGGCTGCCCCGAAAGGGCTGCTCTATATTCACCCGGACCTGGGCCTGGCTGCCTGAACTTCATTTTCTTTTGTGCTCACAGGCGATGCACTTGGTATACCGAGCCCTTGAGAAGGAGCCTGTGCCCTCTGTCCTGCCCCCATCCCTCATTCCCCCCTCGAAGAGAAAGAAGACAGTCTTTGCAGGGGCCGTGCCTGTCCTGCCCGCCAGCCCACCACCAAAAGACAGCCTGCGCTCGACACCTTCCCATGGCAGCGTCAGCAGCCTAAATAGCACAGGAAGCTTGTCTCCCAAGCATAGCATCAAGCAGACACAGGTATGTATGTGCCCCTTTATGCAATTGCTCCTCAGAGCAACCATCTTACAGTTGGGTCCACTGAGATACTTATCAGGAGCAAGTAATTATACCCCCCATAAGGGCAGTTTTTGTGATTAAATTTAAAAAGTTTTGTAATAGATACTTTAGTCTGTTCAGGGTGCAGTAATAGAATCAGACTGGGGGCTTATAAATGGCAAAGATCTACTTCTTGTTATTCTGGAAACCTGATTCTAAGATCAAGGTGCTGGCACATCTGGAAGGCCCTGTCCTTTCTCACAGAAGGCACCTCCCTGTGTCCTCACAGAGGTGCAAGGGAAAGAGCTCTCTTTCCCTTTAGGGCACTGTATCCTATTCAGAGAGGTACCTTCATGGCTGAAGCACCCCCAGGAACCACATGATGCTATGACACTGGGGCTTAGGTTTTAACATATGAATTTTAGGAGGATACATATACTCTATAGTGACAGGGATTTAGAATGAACTACTCTGTCACTTGTGTATAAATACCACCCCTTTTCAAACATACCCAAATGCACCCACCTCTAGGCTTTCCCTCACATCTCTGCCCCTCCTGATCAGGCAGTCCTTCTGCCAGGAGGACAAATAACCAGATGGTGCCTCAGGTTGTGCACACTTTGTTGGGAGGCTGGTGGGACCACACTGACACATCCTAGCCCACCCAGGTGATTTTTTCCCCTCCACTCCTATGTTTTTTTTTTTTTAGTAACAGTTTATTTTTACATCACTTTGTACATTTTTTCCCCCATCTCAATTGTAATCCCCGCAGGTTTCCCATCACCATGTCACCCGTGTGCCATCACCATAATCCCGTGCACTGCCTCCCCCAGTTTTTGATCCCATTCCCCACTCCACCCCCTCAAAATGTCTCTGGTATATGGTTGTTCATTATTTTTGTTATTTTCTCACCTGGTCCATTATACTCCTGCTATGAGTGAAACCATCCAGTATTTTTCTTTCTCTTTCTGGCTTCTCTCACTCAGCATGATCTTTTCCAGCTCCATCCAAGTTGCTGCAAAAGACATGTGTTTCTCTTTTTTGGTTGCTGAGTAATATTCCATTGTATATATGTACCACATCCTTTTGATCCAGTCATCTACTTTTGGGCATTTGGGCTGCTTCCATGTTTTTCCAATTGTACATAAAGCAGCAATAAACACAGGAGTGTAGGTATCTTTTTCAATCAGTGTTTTTGTGTCTTTTGGGTAGATACCTATCCACTCCTATGTTTTACTGGACTTACTACTGTCAGGAGAACAGAGCTGGTTTTGGTTATATCCTCCGTGTTTGGCACTGATCTGGTATAGCAGATCTTCAAATAGCATTGTTATATTGTGACATTAATGAGAAAATAGACCGTGAGTTCCCAGGTAGGGCAATTGCTATTGGAGTTTGCTAGTTTTAAATATTTTTTCAGTTTATTTTTAAAATGCATTTTTCTTTTATTCTGTAGTTAATTTTTTTTTTTTTTTTTGGTATGGATTTTCTCTGGAGCTCTGGTTTTCTCCCATGTCCCAAAGATGCGCACCTTGGTTTCATGGATATCTGTTCTGGTCTCAGTTGTCCCAATTGGAGCATTCATGGGAGGGTGTGATGCACCCTGTGATGGAAGGATTTCTTTTTAGTGTGGGTCTTGCCCTGTATCCTGTGCTGCTAGAAGTGGTTCTGGCTACCTGTAATCCTGGACTGTAATCAATGGGTTAGAAAATGAATAAATGATTATTAGACGTGTTTGGGTTCTTTAGAAATTTGGTGATATTTTTGTGACCAGAAATCTGTCATAGAAACTAAACTCTTGTCTATATCAATTACCCTATGGTAAAATTGGTTTCTTTGTAACATCGCTTAATGTCTTGGTTTCTAAGAACCTAGACAATGTTAATTGAGGACCCACTGCACTTTGTTGTTTAGTCAGTACAAGTTGAGTGATCAGGTGAGCGAAGAGGTCAGCCATCTTGTGTCAGGAGACGTGGGACTCCAACTAGCCCCTTGGCAACTTCCTTTGTGTCCAAAGGCATTTCTGACAAGTACAGCATCCACATGAGCTCCTTGTAAAGGGCAACCTTGAGATTGTCTGAAAAATGGATGTGAGTTACTCCAAGAATCCTGCTTTTTTCTGCCTCATTTGTAGTTTCAAAGCAAAGCCTTGACCAGACAGGGAGATGGCAGCCTGCACCATCAGAAGAATATGCAGCTTCAGAATATGAATGATTAAAGTGAAATGAGAAACACGTAGTCAGACAGTGTTTTCTCATCCACATGATACATTGTTCAAGTTAAGCCTTTACTCCAGTGAGTAGTGGGTGATCAGAGCGATCAGGGTGACCTTCTTGGGGGGGAGACAGTGACGTAGCATGTCTGGCTCAAGTTAAGCTTTGGTTGGCGAGTTTGACATGATTGTTGTTGGAGAGCCCAGTGTCCAGCCTCGGTCTCCTTACCAGCTCACCAGCTCTGCCGGGTGTGCCCTGGGGGCATTGCAGTTAAAACTGCCCTCTGCAGGGAGACAGATGAACAGGTCAGTGAACCAAGGAAGACCAGGTAGATCTGAGAAAGCAGAATAGCCTGGAAGAGGTGGGATCAGGAGGCAGTCTTTTGCATTTGGGACCAGCTAGGGAGCCACTGAGTGCATGAGTCCTAGCTGAAGCTTGAATGACCTGAAGCATAAGGACTAGCCAAGCCAAAGTGCTGAACTTGATTATTTTACAAACAGGAAGAATTCCGGGGGACTGTGGGGTGGGGTCAGAGTGAGGGGCCAGCCCTCCACTAAGAGTTAAGTCAGTTGTATTGTCCAAGAGAACCAGCACTCGTGTCTGCAGAATTCCTGCCAAGAGTCTTGTTAAGAACTGCAGGGCAGGCTGTAGTAATACACTTGGGTTAGGTTAATAGTTATATGCTTTTAGAAGCAAGTGTGACCAACTAGCTGATGAATTTGGGCCAGCCAGCCTTATAGTGCCCCACTCTAGTATTCTGGTGGCTCTCTTTAGACCTTGGGAGCATATTGCCGACCTCCAGACTAGACTGATTTTACCTGAGATCTCTGTTGGGCTCAGGTGGGGAGAGGAGGGAGAATGTGCCCCTTTTCCTAGGGATAGGGGCAGCTGGTGGAATAATAGACATGAGAACAAGCATACTAGGACCCCTGGTCACTGTGCTATTTCTCCCCTGACTAAACTCATCTCCATGCTAATAGCACCCTGTCTGGGGCCTCTTGAGGGTGATCCTGTCCTTTCCTCATGTCCAAATGTGCAGTAAAACCCCTCTAGCTATTGGGACCTGTTCTCGTCCACTGAGGCCTCTGACTGCAGAACTAACCTGAAAGCCTACCCTTCCCTAGGGGATAACTCCACCAGAAGACTGTCGGATGTAGAGCCCAAGTCAGTGTTAGTGTCTTACTCTTGACATGCCTGAGATGCCAGAAGTCAGACAGTACCTTTCTCCTGTTTGTGCAGCATTCAGGCTCTAGTCAGGAGTTGTAATTTCTTGGAACTTGGAGGACACCGAAATTGGTCTTGCCTTCTATCCCGTCCCTCTGCTCCTGCTTCTGTGATTCTCGGGGCCTGAGATTTAGCTTGCTTGGACCACTTAAAATAATGTACCTCTTCTTCGTGAAAACTTTTATGTGTGTCCTTAGTACCTGGGAATGCAGTGGCTTGTGAAACTCATATAATAAATATGACAGGTAAAAATGCCGTTCTCCTTTGCTGTCTGTACCCTTGCTGTCTTGTTTGAATTTGGTCCCTAGGGCCTGCTACCTTTTCTGTGAATTCTTGGTTACTGTAAATTACAATACCCCCTCTCTGAAACACTGAAGCCAAGATAGGTCATGTGGTATTCTTGTGTTCTGGGTTTTGTGTTAAGATAATGAGAGAGGTCTGTTTAGAAAAAGCAGATGAGGAAAAATATCTTTAGAAAAAGAGGCAGAGATGCTGTGGAACTTGGTGAGAGCACTTCTTTCAGCGGGTTCACGTCCTGAGTAAGCAGTCGAAAGGGTCTTGTGCCTCTGCATTGGCGGTATGTAGGCGTGGTGCGCCCGCTGCTGGATTTGCCTTGCTTGAGCAGTCAGTATGAAAGGTGTGCTTATGGCAGTGGTTGAGTCTCATGGCCACCAGAGTTGTAGCTGCTTCTGCCAGGACAGGGCCTAGCAGGTGGGGAGCTCTGGAAGGTGGAGCGCACACTCCAGAGGCCCAGCATGAGGTCTCTGAGCAGCTGCTTGTCCTGCAGACACGGCTCCCCAAGTCTGGTTTTCTGTTTCTCTTGCTGCTTGTGCTCAGGTACAGAGAAGGGTATCTACAGAACTCTGGAAAGGTGGGCATGGAGATAACCTGTAGCTGCAGAGAAGCAAAAGATTGGAGACCAGGGTGGCTGGTGTGGGAGCTGGACAGGTTCTTGGGTGATGTTCCTTTCAAACAGGGGTCACTAGGGTCTTGAGCCTGGTGCTGCAAGCCCATCCTGAGGGGAGAGCCCAGCTTACCGTCATGCCCCAAATGGCAGGGTGGAAAGGCCTTTGGCAGACAGACTTCTGGGCCTTCACTTTCCTCTCATCGTGATACATCAATGGGTGGACAGAGGCACCAACCTCTCTTCAGTCTCAGTTTTCCCACCAACAGAATGGGATTCTGTTTGTCCTTGAGGTTATGGCATGAGGAGGGTTTCCACTGTAACGTATGTGAATGTCTTTGATAGTGATTGTGTACATGAGAAAAAGCTTGGGGATTCACTGTGTTAAAAAATCCTTCTAGCCGACAGTGAACTGGGTGGTGCCAGTGGCAGACAAAATGAGGTTTGACGAGATATTTCTGAAGACTGACCTGGACCTAGATGGCTACGTGAGTGGCCAAGAAGTGAAGGAGATCTTCATGCATTCAGGCCTCACCCAGAACCTTCTAGCGCACATATGGTAAGGAAGAAGAGCAGACACCTGCTCCTCTGTCTTTGGGGGCCTTGCTGTGTGGCAGTGAACGGGGTGGGCAGGAAAAGGGGCCTGTGGAAGTGAGACTGTGCTGTGTAAAGAGCTGGAAGGGTGAGCAGGACCAGAGTGGGGGGTGAGCACGCAGGGCCTCCACATCTGCTGTTACTTAATTCTAGATTAGTGGGAAGCCTAGAGCTGATGCAGCCCATTGTTTCTGTTGCTCATCTGTACAAGCGTGGGTTCCATGACTTGTATCTCCACTGGCTGAATCCCTTGCTTATGATGTGTAATTTGCACCCCATCTTCCCCAGGGCCCTGGCCGATACCAGGCAAATGGGGAAGTTAAGCAAAGACCAGTTTGCATTAGCCATGTACTTCATTCAGCAGAAGGTCAGTAAAGGCATCGACCCCCCTCAAGTTCTGTCGCCGGACATGGTCCCACCTTCAGAGAGGGGCACACCCATCCCGGTGAGTAGCCTGGCTGTACCGTCCCCTTATTAAGCCTCTTTCAGAGCTCATCACCAGGTGGCGCCAGTAGTCCACAGTCTGTGCCCCAAAGTGATCTCTCCTCCTGGGGTCTCTGGTGGGGGTAGGCTGCCCCAGTACTCCCCAGTAGAGCAGAAGATAATACGGACTTTGTCCTTTATTCTAAGACCTCCTAGTCTAGTCCCTGCTGAGTGGTGAGGTCAACTCTGCAATTCCTAACTCCTGTCTAAATTTGGTTCCAGGACAGCTCTAGTTCCCTGGGCTCAGGGGAGTTCACTGGTGTGAAGGAGCTGGATGATATCAGCCAGGAGGTCGCCCAGTTACAGAGGTGCGTGGGAGGGCCCCTTCCTCCTGACCTGCCTCACATTCTCCTGGGTTGCCGGGAGTGTCAGAGGCTGTGAAACTGTAGAAACTTGACTATTACCAGTTTGTGCCGCAGACAGGAAGGGACATGAGTTCTGAGTTATTGGATTGGCCTAACAAGCTGGTAATGTTGGCCTCACTACTGGTCCTCTGTCTTTAGGGGTCTCACTATGTGGAAATGAAGGGTGGGTTGGGAAGGGGATCTGTGGAGTTGAGACTGCTGTGTGCAGGGCTAGGGTAGGGGGTGACATTGTGCCTTGGAGCAGGGCCAGAGAGGGTGGGGGTAGGGTCCCAATTAGTGTGGCCATGGAGACCCAGGTGGGTGGTTGCTAAGCAGTGTCAGTCCTCAGTCGCAGGAAGGTTTGGTCCCCCCCTAGGGGAACATAAAGCGGGTGAACTAATATTGAACATGTGCCGGGGCCTCCGCTCTGGCTTTCTGCTTCACTGCCTCTGCCCTCTTGTTTCCCCTCTTGGCTTTGCACCCTTAGTAGAGGAAGGCCCTACGAAGCAGAGGCAGGTTAGAGGTCAGGTGGAACTGGTCCAATGCATGGCGGGTCCCAGAGCCTCGGTCACCTGCTTGTAGCTGAGCTCAGAGGTGGTTCTGATTCTGTCACTCCTGTTTTCACACCAGGGGTCAGCACATGTAGTTGGCAAGGTTGAGAGAGTCTGTGAGGGCAAGGGTCAGTGTCCTGATGCCCTGACAGTCCAGGACCGAAGGAATAGGTGGGGGGTGGGGGTGGGGTCACAAGAGCCAGGGTCCTGAAAAGGACGGCAGTGACAGGGTCAAGCCAGGGCTACCTCTTCATAGCTGCAGCCCTAGCAGCTGGGAGTCTCATTCCCTTGGGAAGGCAAGAGTTGGACTTGGATCGACCCTGTCGTGGCTTTGAGGGTGACCTGGATGATGGGTTGGGTCTGACGAGACATGGCTCTCCCCTCAATGTGACCCAGCCACAGAGGTGGGTCTGCTGAACCCTTGCTGGTGCCTACTATATCTGAGGCTGGCGGAAAGGAGTATTTAGACACTCGCAGTTGTTCCCGTCTGACCTCAGTGGCTGCAAACGTTTTGTCCCAGGAAGGAGTGAGCAGGGCTGGTTGGCCACCGGAGGTTCTTGCCCTGGAGGCATCTAGAGAGGGCCTTCGTCTTCCAGCTGCTATGAAACAGTTACAGACTGGCAGCATAACAGACATCCTAATTTTCTTCATCTTGCATTTGGAGGGTAGATCTGGAATGTAACAAGGACCCTCTTCCTGGTTTACAGGGGGCAAGAGCTGGGACCTTTCTGGGTTTGTATTTTTAGGGATATTGATTCTTATTCCCAGGCTCCTCCCTTACAACCTAATCACTCTCAAAGGCCTGATCCCCTGAAACCTCTACCTTGGGGGCTAGGCTTCAGTGTATGAGCTGGGGGGACACAGGCACTCTGTCCACCGGCAGCGACTGGCTGCTGTAGGGTGAAGAGACAGGCAGGGCTAGCTGAGCGTTGATTGCACAGCAGCCAAGAACAGCCTCATCTGTGGGAACATCTGGGGGCAGTGGCAAGTACAGAGACACTCACTGCCTGTCTCCTGCCAGCCCTCTCCATTTCCCACCTGACTTGGCATCCTTCCACACTTCTCACTGTGTTCCCTCAAGACGAATTGTGCCTTTCTGTCTCTGTTCTTCACCAAAGCTCCTGAGAACCCTCCCCAGCCCTTCCTGGGCAGGATGCCTTCACCGCTTGTTTCGTGGGATTTCCCGCGGGGAACTTTATCTGTGCTTTGGTTGGTTACTGCCCTGTAAACTTGAAGGCAATGCCTCTCGTGGTATGGGATGCATCATGTTGGTGTTTCTGGGAGGTGGACCCTTGCCATTGAGTGAGCAAGTAAGGCTAAATTTTCCCTTGCTGCAGAACAAATCACCACAGATACAGTGGCTTAAAACCATGCAAATTTATATGTGTAAGCTGTCAGAAGTCCAGGTGTGCTTGATTGAGCTCGCTGCTCAGGGTCAAGGTCACAGTGTTGGCTGCCTGGGGAGGAATCTGAATCAGTCCCTTGATAGCTGGGTCTGAGAACTCTCTCCCTACTGGGTGCAGCAGCTGCATTCTGCTGCAAGGGGCTACTTTGCTTCCTCTTGAGGCCTGATCAATATGACAGCCTTCTGAAGAGTCCTGCTCATCCGGTGCTTACCTGGGCTTTTCATCCTGGGCATTGCTGACTTCCTCTTTAAAAGAGCCTACTTTGAAGGACTTGAGTTGTCATGTTGAGATGATAATTATGGCATCCGTGGGTTCCACCCCCACGAAGGAGAGGGGACCTTGTAGGGTAAACATCTCTGGGGTCTTTCCTAGACTTGCATCCCAGCATTCCCTTGGCAGGTGTTCTGATTTGAGAAGTCTGGGTGGGGAACATGGCTGAAGTAATGATCGGCTCATTCACTCTGTGCTTTCCTGAAATGTTTTGAAAACTCAGAGAGAAATACTCACTGGAACAAGATATCAGAGAGAAAGAAGAGGCCATCAGACAAAAAACCAGCGAAGTTCAGGTAAGCACAGCGCCTGTTCTAGTCAGGTGGGCCTTGTGCCCAGGGGTGGGGTATGAGGAAGGTTGCCCTGTGCTTGTCGGGAACTTGAGCTGCAGGCTTTCTAGTCAATATTATTGTTTCCATAACTGTAGAGGGGAAGTTCTTTTTAAAATAAAGTTGAGATTATAATTCACATATTATAAAATTCACATTTTTTAGGTGGGCCATTTGGTGATTTTTAACATAATTTATTATGTTGCTTAACCATCAGCTCTTTTTAGTTCCAGCATATTCCATCTAATTAAAAAGAAACTCATCCCCACTGCAGTCACTTCCCATCTTCTCCTCAAACCCTTCTAACCTTTTCTCTCTGCTGTGTATGAATATGCCTATTGTAGACATTTCTTATCAATAGATCACTCAGTTGGTCACCCTGTGTCTGGTCTCTCATTCAATACGATGTTCTCGAGGTTCATACACACTGCATGATGTTAGAACTTTATTCCTTTTTATGACAGTGATATTCCACCATTTGGATGGACCACATTGTGTTTATTCATTCATTAATAAATATTGGGTGGTTCTGCTTTTTGTCTGTATTAAGTAATGCCCCTATGAACATTAATGTAAGGTTTATTTCTCTTGGTATCTACCTATGTTTGAAGCCACATGCTAGCTCTTATTTCTTTACCTTTTGAGGGACCATCACACTGTTTTTAAAAAGTGGCTGCATCATCTTACATTCATACCTACAATGCACGAGGGTTCTAGTGTTCCACGTCCTCGCCACCACTTGCTATTTTTTTTTATTGCAGCCTTTCTGGTGGCTGTAATGTGGTATTTCATTGTCCCTAGTACTTTTCCTAGTGATATTGAGTATCTTTTTGTATATCAGTTAGCCATTTGTTTATCTTTTTGGAGAAAAGTCACTTTCTTTGTCCACTTTTTAGTTGTCTTTTTCTTTTTTTAAAGATTTATTTATGCATACAAGCACTGGGGTACAGGCCGGAGGTGCAGGGGATGAGAAGATTTACCAGAGACAGAGTGGGGAGCAGAACAGGCAGATTGACTGAAATACATTGCTGAGGGGAGCAGTGGGTGGGACAGGAGAGGTGTGCTGTGCCATGTGGGTCAGCTCCCTGGAGGGCATGGGATCAAACTTATGCTGCAGTGACTGCCGAAGGCTTCATAGTGCTGAGACTTAACCCCTTGCTCCACCAGGGAGGCCCCCTGTTATTTGTCTTTTTATAGCTGATTTATGAGAGTTCTTTTTATTTTCTAGATAATTCCCCTATCCGATATATGATTTGGAAATAATTGTATTTCATCTGTGGCTTCTCTTTTCACTTTATTGATGAAGCACAGTATTTTTAAATTTTGGTAAAGTTCACTTTCTTCTTGCTCTTTCTTTTGTCATCATACATAGGAACCTGTTGCCAAATCCAGGACAACAAAGCTTTACACCATGTTTTCTTGTGGGGCTTTTTATACTTGTAGTATTTACACTTGGGTCTGTGATCTTTTTAGGGCTCACTTTTGTATATGGTGGTAAGGAAGGGGTCGAGACCTCATTCTTCTGCATGTGGAGATCCAGCAAGAAGCTGTTCTGTTCTTTCTCCCTAAATAGTCTTGACACTCTCTGGAAAATCAGTTGGCTATAGATGTGTGTGTGTATTTCTGGACTCCCAGTTCTGACCCATTGATCTGTATGTCCTTATGTAACCAGTACCACACTGTCTTGATGACTTTACCTTTGTAATGGGTTTTGAACTTGAAGTATGAGCCTTTGAGCTTAGGTCTTCTTTTTCAAGATTGTTTTGAGTCCCTTGCATTTCTTTATGAATTTTGGACTATGCTTGTCAGTTTCTGTGCAGAGCCCAGCTGGGATTCTAGTGGCAATTGCATCAGGTCTGTTAACTGGGCTATCTTTTTTTTTTTTTTTAAGATTTTTTTATTTATGCATACAAGAACTGGGGTACAGGCCAGAGGTGTGGGGTAGGGGAGAGTGAGAAAATTCACCAAGGACAGAATGGGGAGTAGAGAGGCGGATCCACTGAAATGCACTACTGAGGGGAGCAGTGGGCGAAACAGGAGAGGTCTGCTGCGCCATGTGGGTCAGCTCCCTGGCTGGAGATTGAATTCAGGCTGCAGCAGCTGTGGATAGATCCACAGCGCTGTGCTCTAACCCCCTTTGCCATCAGGGAGGGCCCACCTGGATTATTTCTTATTGCACTAACATACCTCCCCACCCCCTGTGCCCTTCTAAACCACACTGGCAGATCCTTTTCCCTATGGGACTCTTAGATGGTTTCTTCTCTATTACAGAATGAGGTCCAGATGTACACATTAGACCCGACCTGCCTACCTCCTTCATCTCTTCCTCACCCATCTCTTGTCCTTACCACATCTCTGCCACCAACTCCCCTTTCACACATCCTGTTACCTCCCCTAAACTTGTCAGACTTGAGATCCATTCCTCAAGTGAAAGGTTGAGACAAGCAGATTGAGGAACAGAGAATTCAGCTCCCAAAGTTGCATTTGCTGTCACGAGAGGAGGGAGCTGATATGTTTTTGTAGGGAGAGGGAGACCCTGCACCTTCTTCTGATTTTTCTGAAATAGCATCAGCCGCCATAGACTCACTGCCCTATCTTCACTTAACCCCAGGACCTTCACATTCACTGTGGGTTGTGCGTTGATTCCCAGCCAGCCCCTCCTAATGGAAATTGCATTGTGTACTGCTTTTGCTCACTAAGGCCTTCTACATGTACCCCTCTGGGATCTTTTCCTAGAGGTCCAACAGTTCAGGGAGACCTATGCTGTCCTTAGTGGCTATACTTGGGGAAGCTTCAACAGTGGACACCCGTATGTGATACCCCTCTACTTGAATGGCTTACAGGAGATACCCACTGCAGAAACCAGAGCAGTCTCTTTGGCTTAGTCAGCAGCATGGCCTCTGCTGCCTTCATCTTGTTTGCCCGTGTTCTGGTTAGAGGGTGACACCCTGACCCTTCTTATGCCCCTGCTCCCCCCCTCAGGGCTTCTTTCCTCCCGATTGCCTCCTCCTCATCCTGTGGGTTCATTCTAAGTAGTGCTTCCTTGGGGATCTTCTTTGCCTTTCCAGTATTTAGTCTCCCAGGTCCCTGTGATTCCCACTAACAGCTCCTGTGCTGTCACTCAGTGCTGCTCATTCCAGTTCATCTGTATTTGGCTAATGCCTCTTACTATGCCACCACTGGCCACAGGTCACTTGAGATCTCAAAGCAGGTGGAGGAGGTGTGTTTCTGCTGTTGGGTATCTACCCCACCTTCCTAGCCCCTGGTCTCTCAGACCATCACTGACTATTTGCTGAAAGATTTGGTGAGAGATTGAGCCCAGGCTGCCAGGCTGAGCTACACACACATGTGGCAGGTGTGTGCAGGATGCTGGTCTGACTTCAGAGTGGGGTTGGGGTTTGTAGGCTCCTGCCCTGGTTGTGATCGTGTAGTCTTGGATGCGCCCCATCTTCTGCATTTTCAAGTGAATTCATGCTACCTTCCTTAGGAATTACAAAATGATCTAGACCGGGAAACAAGCAGTTTGCAAGAGCTGGAAGCTCAGAAACAGGATGCCCAAGATCGCCTGGATGAAATGGACCAGCAGAAGGCCAAGCTCCGTGACATGCTCAGTGATGTCAGGCAGAAGTGCCAGGACGAGACCCAGATGGTGAGTCGGCGCTCTCTAAGCTGCTCTCCACTTAGGAGGCCCAGACAGTCTACTGGTTAAATATTTCCTGAATGTGTCGTTTGGAAAAGCATTCAAGCATTTGTGACCTGACCTTAGCCTCACCCACTGAGTGTAAATGTTAATAGCCTGGGTCCTCACAAACCTGTGTGTGACACTTCCCTACACCCTAACTTGAGCCTCTTAGCACATGGGCCAGGATGCCACTCTCCTCTGACTTGCTCATGTGATGTCTTCCTGTTGGTCACAAACCAGGAAGGCTGCAGCCGCATATGTCTCCTCTGAGGCCTCTCATAGGATACCCAGCCTTTGGGGATTGTTTATCCCCCTTGTCACACACCTCCATATTCCAAGTGATTGCTTGGTTACACAGGGGCAAACATGTCTGCCTTGGCATTTCTGTCTCTTTTTTTTTTCTTAATGCATACAAGAACTAGGGTACAGGCTAGAGGTGCAGGGTGGGTGAGAGACAGAGGGGAGCAGATCAGACAGACTGACTGAAATATACTGTGAGGGGAGCAGCAGGCAGGACAGGAGAAGTCTGCCACACCATGTGGGTCAGCTCCCTGCCAGGAATTGAACTTGTGCTGCAGTGGCTGCAGATAGCATCATAGTGCTGTACTTTAACCCGTTGTACCACGAGGAAGGGCCTTTCTGTCTTTGTTTTGGATGTGGAGTTTGGGCCTAGTAAGGAAACCAGGTATCGGGTGTCTGTCTCCTGGATTAGCTCCTTTCAAGAGTCCTTACAGTTACCTTCCATCTTATTTCAGATCTCCTCATTGAAGACCCAGATTCAGTCTCAGGAATCTGACCTCAAGTCCCAGGAAGATGACCTAAACCGGGCCAAATCGGAGCTGAACCGGCTGCAGCAGGAGGAGACACAACTGGAGCAAAGTATCCAGGCTGGGAAGGTCCAACTGGAAACCATCATCAAGTCCCTCAAGTCCACACAAGATGAAATCAACCAGGTATCCACAGGGGTGGGCTGCTGTGACCAACTGCAGAATAGGCTCTTCTGGGCTTTTTTGCCCAGTGTAGTGCCACTGTGAGCTGTCACATTTCTGTGTGTGACTGGCAGGCTTGAGTGTGTTCTGCAGATGCTTGTTCCTTTACTGCCACCTACCGCATTTATGTTAGGCTCTCTTCATGACAGCTGTCTTCTGGAGGGGAGCACCAGAGAACCCCTCAGTGAGTGTTCCAGTATCTTACTGACTTTGCCTTGCTGACCTTTTTATCTCCCCACCTAAGTGCATGTCACATTATGTTACCAGCTATTGCTAGCTTGGTCCTTGCACAAGTGAGGGTTGTAGAGCTGGCACATCGAGGAGGCCCCCCCTGTAAAGTGTATGGTGCCCTGGTCCAGTTCTTCAGGCTGGACCAACCATTTTGCCTCCCACTGTTCATGAGCAGAGGGAGGGCTCTTTTCCTGATTGCATATATGGAGTGACTCCTTGCTGGCTGTTGGTTGTCCCCCTCTGCAGGGTAGATGTGATGTTTGCTGTTGGCAGTATTGAAATGGCTACTCATGTAGCCTTGTTTGGCTGAATCTATCTCTTTGTTCTTGCCAGTTTACAGACAAGTGTGCAACATTCAAGGATGTATTATTTTCTAATGTGCTCTTTTGTTAATTACTCTCTATAGAATTCTCATAATTCTTTACCCTCCCAGCCTTTAGTGTTTGTAAATGTGGATAGAAGCCAAAACCTAAGTATATGTTATTGATAGTAATAAGAACTACTGTTTATCATTTCTGTGTTTGTGAATTTGCAATCTGCAGTTGGATATTACCCATAATACCCAATGCTCCAATTTGGAGAGGAGGAAACAGAGGTTAGGTCACTATCCTGAAATCACACAGTTTGTAGCAGACAGACGTGTGCCAGGGTCTACTTGACTTCACAGTTTTCCTTCCCCTGGCCTTCCTTCCCTCCTCAGGAATGAGGAGGAGCAAACGGGATAATGAAAACCCCATGAAAGAAGGTGACAGTAGATATCATTTTGAACAGATGGACTGTCTGGATCTTTCCTCTGACCTGTTTTTGTTCCAAGTCAACAAGTGCTTATTTGGGTGTGTGCCTCCCTCAGGCCATGAGAAGGATCTACTCTTGGTTCATGAACCATCTCACTTATCACAGATGTAGTGATATAGGACTGTTCATGAACCATCTCACTTATCACAGATGTAGTGATATAGGACTGTGCATGAGTAATTCAGTTCTTCATGTGAATTGTTGGGGGTTAGGTAGAAAGAGAGAAAAATGTCCTGCCTAACGCATTTTCCTGAAACCTCATGTGATTTTTGTCCATATTTCTGTTGTGCAGGCAAGAAGCAAACTCTCCCAGCTTCATGACAGCCACCAGGAAGCCCAGGAACAGTTTGACCAGGCGCTTGATGGAGCCCGAGGCGCCAGCCTGACCAACCTAGCTGACCTGAGCGAGGGAGTCTCCTTGACAGACAGGGTCGGTTTTGGAGCCATGGTAAAGGTCGAATAAACGTGTCCTAGTCCTGGATTAAGTCTCAGGTTGTGAACAGAGAGTCCCCTGCCTCCCAGAGTTCGTCCCTGCCACCCTCAGTTTTGTCCAGGTGCAGGGTTTTTGTTTTTTTTCTGCTGCTCTGTATGTCCCCATCGTCCCTTCAGCCTGGCATCTGGGCAAAGCCAGGGGAGGGCCAAATATTTGGTAAAAATCTGTTTTATTGCCATTTCTGTCTAACAGAGGGCTAGTTAAAATCTAATCAGAGTTGGATCGGTCTCTTCATACATTGTGAAACCCCACATCCTGCTACCTAAGGGACCGGGAGAATGTGTTTGTATTTACTGTTAGGGCACCTTGGAAATCAGATGTATCCATAAAGAACAAGAAGTGAGAGACCTTCTGCGGTTTGCTGGTTCACCTATGAATTGGCTTCTCTCCTGAAATTTAGTTATATTAAGCACTTTGTTTCATACTCCATGATCCTAGTGGTCCTGATGAGATCTGAGGGACTGGGGTCTGTTAGGTGTTAGTGGGCTCTGGAACCATGGACAGGCAGCTGGTGTCAGCCACATGTCCCTGTCCCTGCCAGGGTCTGCCATGGCAGCCTAAACCCTGACTCATGCCATTTCCAGTTCAGTCTGGATGCTGAGAGCGCATCTCATGGTGTTGAGGGAACTGATGGGGTATGTTGTTTCTCTATGGATCTTTTTGTGCTCTGCTTTGACAGTTCGGCTGGCTCTGTCTCCTCTGCCTCTCAGTGTCTGCTCTGCCACCGGGGAGCCTTTTATGAGCCCACCTCCTGCTTCCAGTCTGTGTGCTTTTGGACATCTTTTGCTGTCTTAATGTCTCTCTCTTAATAAGACTTTATGGCCCTTTATGTTCATTCCTTGACATGTTTCTTTCTTCAGTAGCCAAGTGCTCAACCCCATGAAAGGAAGCTTATGTTTTCCAAACAACTTTAAAGGCATTGTGGGTGTTCTCACCTGCCTCCTGCTGCTTCCCTCTGCCTTTCAAATACCCACTCCGATTTTGGGGTCTGTGGAGGTTTCCATGTCCATTCTGGGACTCTTTGGCAGCTCTACATCTAAGCATAGACTGTGAATATTAGTTTCTCATGAATAGTGTGAGGCAGGAATGCACTTGCTGTCTGGCTATTGTGGTGTGTCTCAGTTTCTCAGCAGACTTTCCTTGTCTCATCTTCCTTGGTTACTCTTCCTCCCTGTCCCTCCTTGTTCATGAGTACCTCACCTTCAAGCCCTGCTGCAGGTTTTGATATACTTGGTTTCCTTGGATAAAAGTTGGCAGTAAAGTGGCAAATCCAAAGTGGCCCATGACACCCCTTTACCTCCATTGTTTTAATTGTCTCATAAGTGGGCAAAGTTTACATGATAGTCAATCATCTTGGGATGTTGATGTCAGATATGCTACATAAAATTCACACTCAGTCAAACTATATCCTGTATAAATACAGTGTTTAAAAGCATCTTTTTGGGATTTGTTTCCATTTCTTAATAAACGCATTAAAGAGGGCTCTTTGTTTACTCCTGAACATTTCAAGACTGCTCCAGAGAGGGGGGTGAAAGGGATGGGCCAGTACAATTACAGAGGTGCTTCTCAAGCCTTCTAAAGCTGGACAATTTTACCAAAGTTACTCCGTTTAGTGCTTTGCTCATGTGGTGTTATTTTGTCCAAGTATCACAGAATTGTTAAATCCACCTATATTCCTCTCCTTTCATCTGAAGTGAGAATACTGGCCTCTTGCCCTTGATGACAGTAACCTAATCAACTCATGTCAGAGAGGAGAAGTTAAGTCATCTCAGACTGACTTATGCCTAATGGAGGGCTCATCAGGAAAGATTGGGTTATCCATCATGTCTGACCCCTGGGGCCTGCAGGAGCTGGTGTTGTCAACTCTCCAGGACTCATTAATAAATCAAAATTTTGTAAGTTTGTGTAACTTGAAGTCAGCCACTATGGGATTAATTACACCCCAGAAATGGCAGAAGTTCACAGCCATGGCTCTCCCCCCCCCCCGCCCCCCGAACTTGGGTTCCCAATTTGCCCCTGCCCCTTACTCTTCTGGGGTGAAGGACTGTCAACAGATGACTCCCTTCCAGGCAGTTCATATCTATTTTCTGGGAAGTGCAGACCATAAGACTGGTCACTGAACTTGCTGTTGAAGGTGTTTTAGCACTGCTGAGGAATGTATCCTCCCAACCTGTGCTGGTGTGAGCCTGGCAGACTGCTCAGTTTTCCCTGAGAAGTGGCCAGTGGATCGTAGCACTGTAGCATCAGTGGTGAAAAATCTAATTTTCTGCTCTGATTATGAAATGGCATCAAACCACAGCTGACAACATGAACCCTGCTGGGGTCTTCTTGGGCTTCACCTTTGTAGGGGGGAATGGTTTCCTCCTCAGGCAAACAGTTGCTCCCGAGAGATCGCAGACCCATTAATGATTCAGCTCAGGTGGCTTATGGCCCAAGCCCCAGGATCATTCTCTTCTCTGCCCTTGTCTTCTGCTGTTTAGTAGTCTTCCAGTGATAATTGAAAACATTAATAAACAAATAAATACAAAACACAACCATTTTGTAAATCCACACCAATTAAGTAGTAGGAGCTTTTATTCTACGGCCAAGCCATCATTCTTAATATACTGCTTTGTCCAGATTGTTCTCTCTCTCTGTCCTCCTTCTGGAACCATGCAGCTGCCTCCCTATGCAGTGTGAGGGGTTTCGTTCCCACTTTGGTCTCCCAGCTTCCTTAGATCAGGCTTCTGAGTCACACTTATCTGTGTCCAAGAGCCCCATCGGATGCTTGTTGGGCACCTGCATCTTGTGATCCTTGTGCTGTCCATGCCAGCTGGGGGTGCAGAGCTTGGAAACCTGCACCTACTTGCCTAAGAACCCGGCTCAGTTCCCCCCTTGGGGAACCCTGTGGTTGGAGTATCCAGACAATTTTTCCCAGGTAAGAAAAACCTGTAATGATCCAAGGGCAGGGGTGTTGGTCCCTTCTTCCTGTCAGCTCAGCACCTGAGCACTGTCTTGCTCTTCCAAGTGGGTAGCCTGGGTCTGCCAAGGCTTTAGCAGGAATCTTCCTTTGATAATTTTGGTGTCATTGCTGTCACCATTGTCCCTATATTTTGCAAAGCCCCACGTCTTTTCTTACTTAGTTCTGGTCAGTTGGAATAATGGATGCACTTACCTGGCCCAGCATGCTCACATGTCTGCCGGACTTGGCTCATTTAAGGGTGTTGTGCTCTTGTGTGTCAAAGTCACAGAAATCTTCATGTTTTCACTAAGGGTGTGTCTCTAGTCACCAAAATAGAGTTGGGATTGCTAAACCAAGTACATTGTTCCTGTGCATATTGCCAGCCCCCTCTCTCAGCCTTTTCCACTATAAACATGTGCTCTTCAGAAGCAATTTTTTTTTCTTTCTGCTTTAGATATACTTGTTTGTTTCTAGAAATAAGTGCTCTTAAAAAAAAATGCAAAGTATTGAATATGCTCTAGTGACTCTAACTGCATTAGTTCTTGTTTCCTCCCAGGATGTAAAGAGCCAGCGTGCTTCTTGGTGTGGAAATGGTGCTTGTTTAAATGCCCACTAGGTATATACTCAAGATGTGAAGGTGGTTGAGGGTAGCCACACCTTTGAATGAGGTCTGTGCTACAATTTCTGGGTGGCTCCTTACACATTCTTTTTTTTGAAAATTCCAAAAACAATACCTTTTTTCTGATTCAGTGATTAGAAAAAAAATTAATTATGGTAAAATACATAAAACATAGAATTTACCATCTCAACTGTTATAATTTAATGTTTCTTAACCATTTTTAAGTACATAGTTCAGTAGTGCTAAGTTCATTAGCATTTTGTACAACTAAACTCCAGAAATTTCTCTTCTTTCCATTACACATTCCCCTTTATCCCCTGGCACTCGTCATTCTACTTTCTGTCTCTAAGAATACCATTCCTTTAGAGAGATCATCATGCAGTATTCATCCTTGTGGGTCTGACATATTTCAGCACAATGTCCTCAAGGTTCATTCATGTTTAGCATGTATCAGAAATGCCTTCCTTTTTGAGGCTAAATAATACCCCCAATATATAGTCATGCATTGATTAATTATGGGGATATGTTCTGAGAAATGGGTTGTGTGTGAATGTCATAGAGTGTCACCGCTATGCATGAGATAGGTCTAGTTGGTGACCAAAATATTAGATGATGCACTACTCTTAATACCATAACTCTTTATCCACTCATCTACTGATGGACATTTGGGCTGCTTCCACTCAATGATTTTTTTTTTAATGAAGCTGATTATTTTTTTTTAGATTTATTTATTCATACAGAGCTGGGGTACAAGCCAGAGGTGCAGAGGTGGTGAGTGACTTCACCAGAGACAGAGTGGGGAGCAGAACAGGCAGATCAACGAAGTACACTGCTGAGGGGAGCAGTGGGCCAGTCAGGAGAGGTCTGCTGCACCATGTGGGTCACCTCCATGACCAGGGATTGAACTCTCACTGAAGCGGCTGCGGCTCGCTTGCAGTGCTATGCTCTAACCCATTGCGCCACCAGGGAGGGCCCCACTCAATGATTTTAAATAAACTTTTCTTTTAGAAGAGTGTCAAATTTTTAGAAAAAGTGCAGGCATAGTGCAGAGAATCTCCAGCCTGTCCCAGATCCAGCCTCCTCATTGAAAACATCATATGTAGCAGTGTTGATGCATGATTACTAGCTAAAACTCACATTTCTTCAATGATTTTTTTAAAAAAAACTTTTAGTTTCACTTAAAAGGAAAGTATGAGTTAGGTATAGAATTCTGTACTGTGTTTTATATCTGAAATAATAAAACCCCTATGCTTTCTCTTCACAAAATTACAGGATGATCCTTTCAAAAATAAGGCCTTGTTATTTAGCAACAATACACAAGAATTGCATCCAGATCCTTTCCAAGCTGAAGATCCCTTCAAATCTGACCCATTCAAAGGAGCTGATCCTTTCAAAGGTATTTCAGTTGTGGGAACCCCCTTGCAAATGGGAAGGGTACTGTTTAGCATAGTCAGTAGTGACACCATCTGAAGTAGTGGAGGAAAGGAATTTGAGCTTAACCTCTTGTGTTTTCTGCCTTACCCCAATTAACAAAAGATCTGAGGCACTGAGATACCTGGAAGGGTAGGCTCCAAATCCACATGCTGCCCTATTAAGGCTGGATTTACCCTGAACAGGAATTCTTCCTATTCATCCCAAAGAGTTGAGAAGACAGATGATATGACTGAAGATTATGAAAGTGCCCAGTAAGCAAAAGTTTGCCATAACATCTCAGGTCTCAACTTTGTGAGCTTCCTTTAGAGCCATACACAAGTCAAGAATATCAAAGAAGAATTTTCTCTATTTCAAGAGTAGAACAGTATTTCAGAAGAAATGCTGAGATTGGGTGAGGCCAGTGGGACTTGTTCCCAGTGCTGACTGGGGTTGAATCACCTTAGGTTGGGAAGTGAAACAGGCAGCTCCCCACACGCTTGTTTTCTAGGGATGGCATACAGATGAGGAGGGGGCATCTGAGCAGGGCAGCTGAGACACTGGTGAAACCCAGCGCAGAGGGAGTATGTCCTGGCTCTGCTGCACTTTCCTGGCCAGTCTGCAGGGAGCAGCCAGCTGTGCTTGCATTTCACCTTCAGTGTCTCAGCTGATACTGCTTCTGTGCTGCCACTGGGGCGTCAAGAATTCTTCTGTCATACAGCTCATGTTCTCTCTAACCTAGGTGACCCATTCCAGAGTGACCCTTTTGCAGAACAACAGACAGCTTCAGCAGGTAAGAGAGCCTATGCTAAGAGTTGTTCACGTTGAGGGAAGTGGACAGATACCTTTCAACCTCTTCCCAGGTTTATGACATGGCTCAGGGGGTTAGTTTCTGAGGGACCGGCTAGTGACACCATCCTTCTGGTCAGTCTGGTGCCTTTTTCCCTATCTTGTACCACGGTGAGTAAAAATACAAAAGAAGCTTCTGGTACTAGGCACTTGTTTGATCATGCCTGGGGAATTTAGATCCCTTGTGCCTGCTGTGTCACTGTGATGGCATCAATGATATCCATACTTGGTGGACCTTCTGTTACCACATCCAGAATTGTAGCAGCGTAGATTGGGAAGAATGACCAGCACCTTGCATGAAATCCTAGAGTCCTGTTTCCTCCAGGTTAAGTGGCTTTCCCTTTCTTCCAGTAACTGTGTGCCCATTCCCCATGCAAGGGGAGGGAGCCCACTGGGTCAGGTATGGGGACTATGCTGCCTGTTTGTTTTTATTGAGGTAAAATTAACAGCATTGGAAAGATAATGAGCCATTTAAAATTATACTTTGCAGTAGCATTCAGTACATTTTAGTATGTTATGCAACTCTCATCTCTAGTTCCAGAACATTCCACCACCTTAAAAGAAACCTCATCCATCCCTAGGTGCACTGATGGCCATTAATCTGCTGTCAATGGATTTATCCATATTGTTTATTTTTGCTATTTTTAAAATCTTCTTTGTTGAGAAGGATAATTTATGCACAACAAAAGTTACCTAATTTAAGTGTATAATGAGGTATATTTTGACAAATGTGTGTAGGTGTGTGGGACTGCGAACATTTCCCTTATCCTGTATGGTTTCCTAGTCCTCCATCCTGGCATCCACTGATTCTACTTTCTATCACTATTTTACCTTTTCTAGGTAAAATCATGTAAATTGCATTGGTCAGTTACATGTTTTTTTAAATTCAGTTATTTTACTAAATGTTACATTCTTTACTAATGGAGCATTTTTTCCTTTTTACCTCAAACACCTAGATCCATTTGGAGGGGATCCTTTCAAAGAAAGTGATCCATTCCGAGGCTCTGCCCCTGAAGACTTCTTTAAGAAACAGACAAAGAATGACCCATTTACCTCAGACCCATTCACGAAAAACCCATCCTTACCTTCAAAGGTGAGTGACACTGAAAAGGTATGGAGGCCACTTGGATAAAGGTATGAGTGGCACTTGGATAAAAGCAGCCCTTCCTCTTCCCCCGTGACTTAGGGAATCATCCGTCTAATTGCTCATTTGGCTTGACAGATATGGGCCTGTGTGTTGCGTGAGGCTGTGCAGGAACTGGGTCATTAGCCATGTCTGTTCCTAGGTATCATTGGTCACCAGTTCCTGTGAAGGCTACGTGGTCCTATGAAGCAGTGTCTCATCCAGTTCTTTTCTGTACCTCCATTACTTAATTTATGACACCAGGTTTTTGTTCTTTTGCTGTCCCACTTTGTCTCTTCCAACAAGGACAGCACAGGACACAGCACCACATAGCACAGCACATAGCACACTTTTGCCATTCCTAGAGCACAGTGCTGATGGTGACATGGGGTATCAGGTTGCTGCCGAGGGCCTGGTCACGCAGTGAGAAGCCCGTATTTACAGCCTGGCAGCACCTGGTATAAAGACAGACATGCACACTTGTCCCCTAGAATAGAAACCACATGTTCTGCACAATGATAGGCTAACCAGACTGGGTCACATTGGTGTCAATATAGGGTTAAAAAACAAACAAACCAAAATTACTTTGTGACTGTACAGAAAATTTTTGTGTATAAGTAGGGCAGATTGATATCCTCCCTTCATGTTCTTAACACATCTCTTTCCCCACCTTATTTTTTTTTTTTAAGATTTATTTATTTTTTATGCATACAGAACTCAGGGTACAGGCCAGAGGTTCAGGGGTGGTAAGAGGATTCACCAGAGTCAGAGTGCATATCAGGAAGACTGACTAAAATAACACTGCTGAGGGGAGCAGTGTCTGCTGTGCCATGTGGGTCACCTCCCTGGATGGGAATCAAACTCCTGCTGAAGTGGCTGTGTCTAGCTCTGTCATGCTGCACTTTAACCAATTGTACCACCAGGGAGGGCCCTAATTTCACCTTTTCTCTGTTGTTTACCTAACCTTGTAAAGTATTTATTCCAGGTATTGTACTTCTCAGTTTTAGAATTTCCATTTATCTCTTTCGTATAGATTCTATTTCTCTGTTAAGCCTCCTAACTTAACATATTTGAGCATATTTTCCTTCACCTAACTGAGCACATTTACACTGCTTTAAGGTTACCTTCACCTGAGAATTCTAGTATCTTGATCATCTTGGGATTGGCTTCATTTTTTGAGAACCTGCTTTTTGGGGATCCTTTTTTTTGGTCCTCTGCCTGTTGAAAAAATCCTATACACTGAAAGTGCTCTGTTTTGAAGAATAGATTCTGTAGTATTCCTCCAAAGAGAGTGGATGGCTTTGTCTCAGCAGGCAGAAAACTTAGTGAGACTCACTTTGCAGACTCTTTGGACACATCTGCAATCTCATTCTTGTGGTCGTGGCTGCAGGCTGCTCTGAGTTTGCCCACCACACACAGATGTATCAGGGAACTGGAGCTCCCGTCTTTTCTGTCTCTTTTTCCAGATGTCCAAGTCCTTTCACACAATTCTATCTGCTGGTCTTTAGTACAGAAAGTCAATGAGTTTATTATTGGAGTCTTGGAGTCTTAGCTGCCCTATACTTTTAGACTTTACCTGTTAACGTGAACAACTCAATCTTTTTTTTAAAGATGTATTTTTACCAGAAGTGGGGAAGAGCAGGTAGATTAAGTACACTGCTGAAGGGAGCAGCAGGTGAGACAGGAGAGTTCTGCTGTGCTGTGTGGGTCAGCTCCCTGGCCAGGGATAGAACTCGTGTTTTCAGTGGCTGGTGATAGCTTGACAGTGCTGAGACTTTAACCCCTGTGCCGTCAGAAAGGCCCCAACAACTCAGTCGTGTACTGTTTTCTACTGTCAAGTTTCAGTTCTCCCTCAGGTGGTTGCCTTTTTTTTTGGTCTGGGATTTACAGGTGTTAACCAATGGAGCATCCATCTGTTGGGATTTTACTGTCACTGGGGTATGGAGACATCAAGAATGTGGTTAAATGAATACATGATGGAACAAATGACCTATTTTTTACTCTCCTTTCTCCTTTCACTTAGCTCGACCCCTTTGAATCCAGTGATCCTTTCTCATCTTCCAGTGTCTCCTCAAAAGGATCAGGTGAGATGATGGGTTATTTTTATTCTAACTCTTGGCAGTGCAAGTATCTGCCCAGTTAATAAGCATTCACCTACCACACTACGTGTCCTCAGTGTTTTTATTATTAGTCAGTGGTACCCGGAGCCTCACCTGAGGCAGTTAAGCCAAAATCAGTACCCACTGGCCGCCTATTTTCCCAAACAAGAGCTGGTGTTTTTCCAAGAAGTTTGGTGATTTTAGTTCTCTACTTAATATTTGTATCTTTGGGTTTTTTTTCCCCTTTAAAAGAATCCCAAGTTTGTCTTAGAGTACTGGCTTGTGCTCTAAAGGAGAGAGCAATTGTGGACTCCTCCTCACTCTTGGGAACAGGCCCCATGTGACTTTTGCTGCCTTGCCTAGCACTTCGCTTCTTGGTTACAGAGTGTGATATCCTAGGTGGGTGTGTGTAAAGGCAAATCGCCCCATAAAAGGAGAAAGAGTTCATTGTCCACATATGACCTTCCCACCACTTAAGTGGTGTGGGGCTCATGGTGTGAAAAACCTTCCCAAATAATTCATATGGATGGTGGGTCATAAATGACCTCCCCACAGAAATCATGTGGGCTGCTTCTTGCCCCTAACGCCTCCCCTCGTGCTTCCACAGGGCACTTTTCACTCCTTTAGTGACCTTGAACAATGTTGCCTTAGAACACTGAGTTCTTTGACTTTTCCCAGCTGGCTGTGAGAAACTGTCTGGCCAAGTGTGCATCAAGTACAAGCCAGAGTGGTTGAGAGTGGAGCCCTTGTTGAGGGCATTTACTCACATGCACTGGCCAAGAAACACAACCTGCCCTGTTCTCCTGCATTGGGTTGTTGAGTATAGAGGGGCTGCCCTTGCTCTTACCCCAGGCGGTATGTGAGTGACTGGCCTGTAACTGCCTCTGTTGGTGCTGCTTGCAGGTCCCTTTGGAACATTAGACCCCTTCGGAAGTGGGTCCTTCAGTAGTGCTGAGGGCTTTGCTGACTTCAGCCAGATGTCCAAGGTAAAGCCCCTCCCATGGAGGATCTGTACCTCTGCCAGTGTCTTTGTGCCTTTGTCGTGGTCTTATTGTGGGCTGCCAGGTGTAACTGTTTATGCCACATTTTTATTTCCCCGCCACCTTTCAGTTTGAAATACCTCCCCACATGAGGTTGTGGGCAGGTCTAGAATGCACTTGTGGCTGTGTGACTGGACCCATTTCTCTTTGCCTGCTTCCGCTGATGTCCTTTGGGTCCAATGGAGTCTGATGGCGATTGGCTCTCAAGCAATGAGGTCATCGCTGTGACTGAACAGACTGGGGAGGTTGTTTAGACACGTAGGATCGTGGAGGGGAGTAGGGTGTAGGCCTGGTGTGCAGCTGCGGCTGGCAGGCAGGAGGCACCCAAGAAAGTGGCCCATGTGTCTGCAGCTGTTAGTCTGAGAGAACATGTGGGACTGTGGGCTAGGCTCAGGGAAGAATACAAGTGAGCTGTTCGAGGACCAGTCACATCCACTGTTGGACTGGACAACATCTTCCTGATCCCAGTTTCATAAACTGAGTGTAGCTCCATAATGTTATTTCTGGGGAGAACACTTGTGGAAGGTGGATTGAGGGTGGAATCTTAGATGTAGCAACAACTTATTTTTCTGAAATGGCAAGTCAAGAAATATCAGAAATCCATTACTGTGAGAAATTCCAGAAGAAACTGCTCTGAAATCTAAAGCGTTGACTGGTGAGTAAGGTAGTGGAAGGGTCTGCTGTCTTCATTGTACTTTTCAATATCCCTTAGTTTTAACTGAACAGGAAAGTTTCTCTTAAGAATTGAGGAAGGCAGTATCAGGTGCCATCTGGGCTTAGAACTTCCCCACTGCTGAACACTGATCTGTTTAGATGCTGCCCACTTTTTCATTCATTCCATATGTCTTTATTGAGGTCCAGGTTGCTGGTGGGTGGGCGGGGCTGGGAGGCAGAAGCAGAACACAGCCCCTCCCTAGCTGGGGAGGTTCATAGCCAACCAGGGAGGGATCTATGGGGCCTGGAGGCAGTGAGGGGAAGGGAGCCTGAAGATGCGGGGCCTCAGCAGCCACCCCCTCCCCCTGCCCCCCAGTCATCTTCCTGCTCTGTTCCTTCAACCTCAGGAACAAGTGATTATCTTGGTGCTGCGTGCCTGTGGTTAGCAATGTGTGATTGTGGCGAAGCTTCCGAGAAACATCTGAGATGCTGTTTAGGCTTTCAAAGAAGGGTGTGAACATAAACTGTCAAGGTAGCGAATCCAACTCTGGCCAGAGGTGGAGTGTTAGTGCCTGGAGAAGGAGCCTCCACCTTGTAGGGAGAGACTGAAACCTGGACTGTGGAGACTGGGTTGGTCAGAGGCACCAGGGCTGTCAGACTCCTCCTGTGTCCATTGTTCCCATTAAGCCAACAGAAAACCAATCTCTGTGATCAGAAAGCTTCAGCCACACGGTGGCAGCAATCTCCAGCGAAGGGTTTCTGGTATATTCTTGAGTCCTCATAAGTGGTCTTCTCCCTGCTGGAGGCTGGCTCCTAGACAAGACGGCATACCCTTAAGTCATCAGTGGCCAGAGCGAGGACAAGGATGAGGATGTGAGCCAGGGCCCTGCTTCAAGAAGCATCCCACTAAAGGGTCTGCCCCGGCAGTCTGTCCAGGGCCTCAGAGCCCACCATTCTGACTGCAGGTGTTTTTCCCTCTTCTTTTTGTTTTGTTGTTTTTTAAAAAATAATATAATAGTTTATTTTTACATCATTTTGTGCCTTTTTCCATCTCAGTTGTAATCCCCATGGGCTTCCCATCACCAAATCACCCGTGTGCCATCAACATAGTGTTTTTCCCTCTTTTAACTTTCGCCTCTCTCCTTATTCTTGGGGGCACCATCAGACTTTACACACACAACACAGGACTTCAGGGTCATCATCCCTTCCATCCCCAGCACTGGGGAGACAGAACTGGCCTGGCCATGGAAAATGTGTCCCCTCCCTTCTTGTTTTGTTTCCACTATCCCTTTAGTTCTGGTGCCATGTCACCTGTGCCGCTAAACACTGAGCCCTAACCCTGGAGGTCTGTTTTTCCCTTTTGGTTCTCTTTCTGTTTTTCAAGAACAACATAGTGTATATAAATAAAAGGCTGAAGGAAATGAAAGTAAGGTGGTAAGAAGGTGTTTTTTTTCTTTTGGGCTTTTTTTTTTTTTCTCTCTCACATTGCCAGATTCTCTCCATCTGAAGGGGGTGGGGAGGCAGTGCATCTTTCTTAATTCTACCTGGAATCAAGTGTCTCTGTTGATGATTCCTTTAGAGGGTTCTTTGGACTGTTAACTGAATTCCCTCCAATACCTGAAGAGATTTTTTCCAGACCACGTTGATCAGAAACTCCATTATCTTGCTTTAAAAATTAATGCCCCAAAATAGATATCAGGGAGCATCTGAGAATGAAAACAAGAGTTGAATTTCATGAGTTCACCATCCCCCATGAAAAAAACCACTTGTGAAAGATAATAGCTGGTCATGAGCCTACTTTTGTTGTTTTGTAGTAATTCCCAATCACATTTAGGGTTGTTTTAAAAGTTCAAACTTGTTTTAACAAATTCTGTATACTGGAGCCCCCAAACATGTGTCTGTCAGAGCTGCTTTTTACAGAGGCTTTTCTGTCTTGTCTTTTTCTTACACTGTACTCAGTCCCAGCCCAGAGAGTACCTAACAGTTTCTCACTGAAACCCTTCTAAAATTAGCGACTTTCCCTGCAGTCACAGCCCAAGTAGGAACAAGTCCCAAAGGAGGTGACTTGGGGAGACTTGAAATCATGAAAATTAGGAGTGGGAAGTGACACACATCTTTGGGTATTAAAAGTGGCACACACAGCTGGAAGCGTTTCCCATTGGAGTGAGCCAGCTGCTCTTCAGGTTTAAACAGAACAGGGGCTGTGTGGCCTTCAGTGTCCCCAGCTAGGTGGCCACAGCTGTGAGTGTGTCCCAGAGCTCACAAGTTGTGAACTCTGAGCAAGCAGACCCACAAGTTGCACCAGCTATAGAGTGGCCTGGGTGTCCACCCAACTGAGGGTAAACTCAAGTCGGGATGTCTGTGTGGATACTGGTGGACATGGTACCTGGGTGCCTATCATTGGAGGGGGTGTGTTCAGAGGGCTTTGGCTCTACACCCCTTTCCCACGGTTGTGCCTTTCCAGCATCTAAGACAAGGGCTAGATTCCTCCTAGGGCCTCATGCCAACTCTGCAATCAGAAAAGGGATTTGGTTCCTGCCCATTGACACAATTGTGGGGATCATCTGAGCTCTCGATACAAAGGCTGTAGGAAGAATGGAAAACCAGCAGTCGCTCCCTCCACCTTCTCTGTCTCCTTTGCCCTCATGCCCTCCTTCCCAGTGACAGGCGCCAAACTGCGTACCTCATGCAGTTTCCTCTGGGAAAGTATCTGTAGCTGTGGATAATGGAAAGCAGCAGAAATAAAGCATTGGTAGCAGATGGGACTTTGTAGGTTCTTACGGGTGTCTGTACCTGTGTTTGTGGCATAATGATCACTGTGTGTCTTCGCTGCCACATTGCCTGGCTGACATTACCTTCTTGCCTTTAGCTCTGTGAGCCAGGGCCTGACTTCATTGTTATGTCACAGATGAGCAAACTGAGGCATGCTGTGGTTTGGAGGTGGCAGGGCTGAGATAGCCCTTTTCTCGCCATGGACCTGCCATTGCACTGCCTTCTCCATGCCTGCGTGTCTCTCCCAAAGATCTGAAGGTAGGGTGCCTAGAACATGGCCCCGGATCTACTAGAGGGGAGGTGTGTGCCAGATGCTCAGGACAGAGCCCACAAGTCCCAATAGGTAGCAGAAATTCCCACCCTGACTCTACTGCTGAGGTTGTGTCACCTCTCTGTGCCTTGATTTCCCTCTGGGTAAAGTGGAAGTGGTATGGGACTTCTCTGATAATTTCTTGGGCCCAGATTATATAAGAAAGTCCCAGAGTGTGCTTTTGTGTTCCTTTTTGTCTTCTGCCCCTAGGTCTGCCCACTAGGGACAGAATCACAAGTGCTGCTCCCAAAGCTTTCCCTATGCCAGCCAGAACACCACAAGCCTCCTTTCCTTTGTCCTTTGAGAAGCACATTAGCATTCTTAGCTTATTTCCACCAATTTCCTTTTGTTTCTTATTGTGATATAGCTCCTTGCTTTACTTTTTTCATTATTTTCTGTTTTAGTAAAAGTGGTCCCTGCCCCCACCCCTATAGAAAGTCATCTTCCTTTGCGATGCCTGAGGCCCCTCACCTGTCATCCAAGTGAGCCGGCCATCTGTGACTCATCCGTCTGTCTGTCTGTTGGCGGAGGTTTGTCATGCCTGGCACTGTGCTGGCGCTTATGGGAAAGTCGCATGTGGTCTAAGGTGTGCTGCCCATCAGCTGTGCTGGCCTTCAGGCCTCCCGGTAGGTGGAAGGGGCCGGGACACTCAGTGTGGTGTGGTGTGGTGTGGTCACACGTGCCCTGTGAGATCTCATGGCACGTGGAGTGGGAGCATTTGGCAGGAAGGAGTGTCAGGGAATGCTGTAGAGGTGGAGTGAGGTTCAGTCAGACTCCAAAGAAGAAGAGAGGGGCCCTTAGTGGATTGGGTGGGCTGGCTGCCCCAGCAGGAGACCCAGGTGTGCATGGAGACCTGAAGGTGAGGGTTCGGGAACTCCATTGGGACTCCATAGGCGTCATCAGAGTTGGATAGAAGTGCCTAAGGGTTGAAGTGGAATAATTAGGTTGTGGGAGGCCAGAATAAAGACCTTCTAGGTCTCCAAGAGTGCTGCAGTTGACCTTGTGTGTCAGGGTCATTCAGAGTTACTGACTCATGTACATATCCACCCACCCATCATCTACTTGCCTTCCCACCCATGAACCCATGCATCTCTGTTGCCAGCAGTGTGGCCTAATTTGGGTTTGAGAGCAGGGCTAGAGGCGGTAGAGGAGACCAAGGAGGGTCAGAGGTGATAGGAACCTGCGGGAGACAGTGTTTCCATGCTGCTGGCTGAGGGGCCATTGGGCCTGGGGGCAGCTCTGCACCATGAAGGGTCAGCTGCTGTCCAACCCAGCACGTGGAGCTGCTGGTCACTGGTGGTAGCCCTGGGAGTTCCTCAGCCAGTGTGAGGGTGAGCATCTCTGAACCTGAGTGGTAAACTGGGGACCCCTGAGTCAGGGAGGACCAGATCCCCTTGCAGGCAGAAAACATGTGTCAGGATAACCTTCTCACAACATGAGTCTTTTGGGGTGCTTTTGCCCATTTTGTTTGCTACCTGGCCCCTTGCAGGCCAGCTGAGTCCTCACAGGCCAGTGGACCTCTACTGTTGCAAGTGGAGGAATATGCGGGATTGTGAGGCCCTGGGTCCTAGTGGAAACCATGTGGCACAGCCTGGAGGGTTGGGGCCTAGCCAGGCTCTTGTACTTGGGCGTTGACTCAGTGGATGTCCACTGCCCCCGTTTTAACAATGTTTTTGCCTCTTTTTCATGTCCTCTCTTACAGCCCCCAACTTCTGGCCCTTTCACCTCCTCCTTTGGAGGGGCAGGATTCTCAGAGGACCCCTTTAAAAGTAAACAGGACACTCCCGCTCTGCCTCCGAAGAAGCCTGCTCCTCCGCGGCCTAAACTGCCCAGCGGTCAGTACGCTTTCTTCTCTCGTAGCCACCTGCTCCATAGCAGGACGGCGGGAGGACGAGGGCCCCTCTGTCTACCAGCCCCGGGCAGAGCAGAGGCCTCACTTGAAGCAAGATGGGCCCTTAGGTCAGGTCCCTTCTGCCACGTGGTGCTGGGGTGGCTCTTACCTCCACCTTATCTGCTGTCATTCATCCCATGGGCTTTTGGCTGTGGGCGCTAGGGAAGGTCTCAGAGGGTGCAGGGCTCAGTGTCCTCCTCAAAGCACCTGACTAAATGTGGCATCAGGGCCCCTCAACCTCCTCCCTAACTGGAGCTCTTTTCCCAAGTTGGCTCAGGAGGGCATGGGATACAGCTATAGCAGCAGAGCCAACTGTGGCCACCTTCTTGAAAGGTGCCTGAGTAAGGGACTTGTTAAGGACTGGATGGGTTGGGGTCGGGTGGGGTCGGGTGGAGCAGGGGCAGGGATTCTCCCTAACTGTATTTGGACTGAGAGGAGGCAAGATGATTCCACAGGGAGCTCCTGTCGCAGAGCTTCCTATAGACCCCGCCTCTCCTGATGTCAGGCTCAGACCTGGGCCCAGTGCTCAGCAGAGAGCCAGGCATGTCCTGCTGAGGATTCCGAGGACTTTTCCTCATGTGTGTATGCTCTCTTATGTGACAGCAACAGCTGCCTAATAAAGAAATCTAGAGCCATAAGCAGATGTCAGGTGGCAGAGGCTGCACGGCGTGTCCCGATCCACCCCCACCTACTGGTGTCTCTCCAGTGCCCCTGGCAGGATGTCCCTCGTCTGGTATCCAGGCAGATTCTCCCTCACTGTCCCTAGCCTGTGGGTGCCACAGAACCTCCTTCCTTTGAACAGGCCTTCTATTCTGACCTTCTAGTCTTAGCTGTCCCCTCCCTTTAATCTGCCATGGTGGGGGTTAGGTGACTCCACTTCTTATCCCATCATCTCTGAAGCCTGGAATGATCTACTGTCCAAGACTGTCCCTCCCTGCCCACCTGAGGCCCCCCCGCCACTAGTGTCCGTAGAGGGGGAGGTTTAAAAGGATGCCTCTCTCCTGTCCCTAGGTGACCAGGAAATGGGAACCACCTATACTGCTTGGAGTGGCCACCTAGTGAACAAGTCAGGAAGGGGTGTATCACCCTCAGGCCACGTGGGTTTATAACAGATGTTTGTGACCTGTGAGCAGAAACACGTGTGTAGAGATAATTTCTGTGAACACACACGGCATCCCTGGTGAGATTGAGTGCCCCTCAGTGGCTTTCTGGGACCCATGAATGTCACCTATGGGAATGGGATCCACCTCTTTACTGCACTGAAAAATAGGAACAAAGTCAGCACCAGCTACATGTAGACACACGCACATGAGCATAGAGGTCACACAGCTCTCACACTCGTGTTTGTGGAGCTCACATACACATAGGCATGTGTAGCTCACAAAATATGTGCACAGTCTATACATTAGTTCATACACAGCACGTTCACCCCACACATGCATGTCCTCTAGTGCTCACAGTGTGTGCACATGATGGCTGTGTGGTTGCGTAGTCACACACTCTTGCACACACACATTCTGAAACACTGCATGCGCACACACCACAGATATGCTTTCATGCACACATACATGAAGGTGCACACACGTGTACACATGCAGAGCAGCACTGTATTTATGGAACCTTGGGACAGACATACTCCACCCAGTGGCCAGGAGGTGTTCCTAGAGATTTGCCAGCCACCTCACCTCCCCTGAACCCTTACAGGATCAGCTTGCTGCCACCTCCTAAGGGTCCCTTAGCACACCTGCCTACTTCATCTGGCTTTAACAATTAGTGCACCTTGGATCTGGGAACCAGAGAACCCAGGGGCAAGATGGAGTTGGTATCAGAGAGTTTTCCACATTGGAGAGGTTGGGGTTTGTATCCAGGTGGGTCAGGCTGCCCTGTGGCATGTCTTCCGGCCCTTGCACCTGTGCTCTGCTGTGGCACAGAAGGTGCAGGAGCCCCCAGAGTCCTCTGCCATTTACGGACCTTGAGGAAGCACTTGCATGACTAATCTTGCCAGATCCTAGGACCAAAATTGTGTCCTTTCACCAGAAAAAGGAGAGGGAAGTGAGAGGTCATGTTGCTGCTCAGGGTCACACAAGAAGGGGGGCAGTAGTGCCAGCCTGGGCCCAGTGACCTGTCCTGCCCCCTCCTCACTTCAGGAGAGCTGGAATGAGAATCAGGCTGTGAGGGCTGGGGCACTCATGTACATGCATGTTTAATCTGTGTGGTGATCACATCGCGCTAAGGCCTCAGTGATTCACATCTGATTCTCTTACTCAGCAGCAATGGCTGAACAGAAAGGCCCTGCGCGGTACACACTGCTGGGCGGTAGGTACAGACGGTGTGGCTGTGGCGATTTGAGTGTCTTTAGCAGTGTGTTTGCTGTGATTTCATACTAACTGCTAAACCCCTGGGAATGGCCAACCCCCCACCTAGCCATGCACAGCATGGACGCTGTATGGGGGGCAGCACTTGGCTCTGCGTGAAAGGGGCCTGCTGACCACAACATTCCAACCTGGGCTCACTGTGCTGTGGCTCAGCATGCCAGTGTGGCTCTGTACCTGGAGTTGGCTGTACAGGGCAGGCGAACTGATGTGTTCCCCTCCAGCCTCTAGAACAGCCAGCCCATGGGGGCCTGGAGAGGCTGCCCTATCGGCTGCTTTCTGGATGTTGGATTGAGGGTCCAGGTTCCCCTTCCTGCTCTGCTGCCTTGTCCCTGAGGAACTCTGGGCAAGTGTCTTAATTCCACTGAACCTCAGCTTCCCTATCTGAATATGGGGCCAGTTCTTACCTAGCCAGTTGCCATGTGGGTAAAGGACTATGTACAGTGACCACTCATAGTGTGATGTGGAGTCCCAGGGTTCCTGGCAAAGCTCAGCTTTGGTTACTTGCATAGGACCAAATGCACATCTGGGTCCGAGTAGGCATAGATTTTTGGGTGCTGTGGCCTGTGCATTAGAAGCTGCACTTTTGCATTTTGTTTTTGTTCTTTTTATTAAGTGTGATTGGTATGAGGCAAGCACATATATTTACGTGTTGCCCATGTAGTTGCCGTCACTACACCCCACTTAGCAGTTCCACCGGATTCCCCATATCTCATGTGGTAATGGCTCATAGTTGGCTGTCTGCTTTCAATACCAAATACTCAATTCCCCCTGGAGCCATGGCAGAAATTGTGCTCTCAGGGATATCGTGGGGCCTGGGCCTTGGCCTCGGCACTGAGGCAGGAGAGGTCTTTTCTAGAAAGGTCTGTCAAGGTATTAAATAACCAACAGGTGCTGTTTGGTGTCAAGAAAATTGATTTCCTCCAGGCAGATGCAAAACATACCCTTCCGAAACCTGTCCGTTAGAACTGGTGCTCACGCACCTCCCCCAGGTAAACAGTGGTGTGTCTTCTGCAACGGACCAGAGATGAGGATCAGAGCTCACCGCTGGAGAGTTTCTAGGTAAAAGTTGTTGATTTGCAAAGGGAGAAACAGATTTTTTTGAAGTGCAGGAAATGGTTGTGTGGGTGTCAGTGATTGGGCCTCGCACCCTGCTGCGATCTTGGGTCCTGCCCGGCCCCACCCTTGCCACTTCCTGTAAGTACAGCCTTGCGGTGCAGTCCCTGCAGCGCCCGGGTAACACCAGTCAGGGTGCCTTTACCGCTAACCAGCCCATCACCTTTAACCTCTCCCCAGTTTCATTGTCCTTCTGTTATTACCAGTGACCTCCTCACCCCCAGAATAAAGCCAGGTACATCTCCTTGATATCTTTCTGCCCCCTTTATCCTCCCTATGATTCTACCAACTCACCTGGGACAATGAGATCCATTTAGCTAGCATCCTACTCAATTCAAATAATTCTCTAAAAAGTAAAGAAAAAAGAATCATTTGTCCTCTAGAGCCCAAGTCCTCTCCCATACCTGTGTGCACCCCCCACTCAGGGGCTTGGCTTTGGTTTCGTTCTTTGGGACAGTGCTCCTCCTGTTAGCCCTCCTGGGAACCCTTTGCTTGACTGTCACTATGACTGTCCATGGGCAGAGTCGGGGGAAAGGGCACAATTCTAAATGGCACCAGCCGCATGTCCCTGGTTCCCCGCATGTCCTGAGATGCCAGGCATGCTGAGACCAGGATCACCACCCTCTGCCTGTGCTCGTTCCAGCCTCTCATTTGTTACTTAGGATCCACCTTTTAAGATGACTTCTCCAGTTGAGCCGTGTGGTTAGCACCTCTGCCTTGAACTTAACTACTTTAATTCCGTTCCCACGGTGATTTCAGAGAGATAATTCAGTGGGTACTTGTGAGGCTCTAGGATGGGACACTAAGATCCCCACCTTGGGAAATTCAGGGACTACTGGCCAGCCCAGGTCGGAGGGCTCTAGGGGAACCTCAGATAGCTACTCCAGAAGAGCTGCTTCTCCTGTGTATCAGGCAGGAGGAGGAGCTGTGTGTGATCCCCAACAACTGTTCCAGAGGGAAGATGCATGTAAGACGCCCGGAGACACATCCTTCTTTGGGGCAAATTTCTCTTCTACAAAGTTTACTGAGTTTGAAAATAGAAGCGTTTACCTTTCTTCACCCACCCACTCTTCTGCACCCAGGAGGCGATTGAGTGGGAGTTAGGTGACACTATGACCTGTTCTTCGGGATGAAGAGACAAACAGGCTTGGGGCTGCTGAAGAGAGGAGTTGGGCTCAGTCAGCCAGGCTTCTGGGCATCCGTAGGGCTTTCAGCAGAGTTCAGGTTCAGAGAATGCTGTTCCTCGCCCCACTCCCCCATGTGAGCAGGGTGTGACCGGATAGCCGCCTTCAGCCCCGCCTGGCCTCTGTGGAGTCCTCATATCCCTGCCACTAAGCTCCCTTAGACTCTTACTCCCACTTGCAGCAAGTGAGGGTGCCCAGGTGGATGTTACCTGTGCAGCCCCTGCTTTTGTGACAGTACAAATATGACCTGTCAACTTTCATTGCTCATGTTCAAAGTGCTGAATCAAACTTCTCCCTCTGCCGTATCAACTATAAAAGAGTGCCTGCATGTGTGGGTGGTGTGGAGGGGATCCAGATAAAGAGAGTGGGAGTAGGGGCCCCTTCTGCTGCAGGCTCTCCCAACTCTTTCAAACCGCCCTCACTACAGGAGGGAGCTCCTGGAGGGTTTTGGGTACCAGCATGTGCCCCAACAGCTTTCAGACCTGCCATACCACACTGGCATTTTGTTAAATGCGGGCATGGTGTCTGCTCAAACAGGGGTGGGTTCTGCAGGCTGGTTTGTAGGGAGTATTGAAGATCTGCCCGTGTCTCAGGGTAGACCTAGGGCTCCTTGACCTGGCTCTTGGGAATAGCTCCTCCCCAACTGCCTTAAGGCAGTCACACCCCTGGCAGGGTGCACAGATGCCTGGCAGGGCATCTCCGGGGCTAGGGAAAGGGACAGACAGCACATAGGGCTGTCCCAGCAGAGCATGTCCCAGGCACAAACCAAAGAACAAATGTGATTTTTCAAACAACAGAACCGTGAGACCTGCCAGTCTGTATGCCGTTGTTATGAAAGCTGGAGTGTGAATTCATTTGTAAGTCACTACGCCCCCTCCCTTTGTGGGCACCGTTTGTGGAAACCTCTCAAAGATTGTATTTCTCACTTCAAAGATACTTGTCTTTTGAGGATCCTAAAATTGAAGCTGTTTCCCTCCAGTTCTCCCTCCCTTTCTGAGGTGGGATGAAGTCCATCACTTTCCTCCCAGCCACTGCCTTTGACCGCCTTGGCCATCTCAGAAGATGAAAGATGCAGTTTAATTGTGGGGTGCCTGAGGATCTTAGTAAATATTTGTTCAGCTTTTCTCAAAAAATGCAGCACCAAACCTCATCCTGTTCCCTTCATTGCATTAAGCAGATTTTCTTAAAATTTGGTAAATATTTTTAGTGGAAAATCTCAATGCTGTGATGGTGGGACCTCAGATTTTATCTGGGCTGTGCTGCTCTGCGCACTTTGATCTGTGGGTTTGCCTTCTCTTCAGGTGCATCAGTGGGCTGTGTTTGAAGGGTCCCCTCCTGTAGCCAGTTTGTGGTCCTGTTTGAGAACTTGGCTTCCTGGGCTCGCCTCCAAGGCCACTTCAGATGGGTCCCGCGGGGGGACGCAGATGGGTTTTGGTGAAAAGAGACTTTTTCAGTAAAAAGTTCCCTTTATGAATTTGAGAATGTGCTCCTGACAGCCCAGTCTTCTCTCTCCCCACTCCCCCCAGGGAAATGTGCTAGGGTTGGGGTGGGAAGGGAGGAGCCAGACCAAGGAAGAGGTCCTCCGGTCCTCCACTAGTCACTGTCCTTATGAGTGGAGGACACTGAGAGCCAGGCAGTCATGCGGGATGAGTGACATTCGTGTGTGAATGCCCCCGTTGGGTAGGATGAGACAGTTGCGCGAGAATTCTGTCATGTGAAGATCATGTATTGTGTGAGGTGCAGCAGTTACACGGACATCTCATGTTGGGGATAATGGAGGTTGTGTGAAGGTCCTGTGTTGTGTGGGATGAGATGTGATTGTGTGGATGTTTTTCGTTGGGATAACAGCAGTCGTGTGAACGCCCCATGTTGTGTGGGGTAGTGAGTAAGGTGGGGCAGCTGTCCTGACCACAAACCTTTGTTTTTTATTTTTTGTTTTGTTTCTTGTCTTTGTATTTATCGCTCATCTAGAGAACTGTATTTTCAGCTGCAGCCCTGAATTTCATAAATAGAGCCCAGCAAGATTCTGCTTGCGATGAACACACTCGCACTCAGGTGTACATTTTGTATTTTTATGAATCAGCGTTACTGAGGCCCTACGGCACCCAAACCCCTTGCTCTCCTCCTACGTTAAGGAATTTCAAGCCAGAGAATCACTCCTCTTCAGAACCTTCAGAATGTATAGTTTAGTTTGCGGTGTCCCTGTCCTATTGTTGTTCTGTGACAAGCTCTTGCGGCCCCCTCTATGGTTTCTTGAAAAGCGTGCTGGGAAAGGCAGAGTGTGGCGATTTGCGAACCAGGCTTCAGAACACGCGCCTGGTCCTCACTTGCTCCCCATCTCCGAGGCACGCGCAGCCTAGAAACATTTAGAAATAGCAAAATTAAAGAAATTTCTTTCAGGGTGGAGCCAGCCACTGAGTTTTTTTTTTAACAGCACAACTGTGGTAAACCATGGGGCTCACGTTGTTTTTGCTAAGGTCGGTCCTGTGTGTGGTTTCGGTGCGCCACTTGGGTAACTGTTGAAACTGCTGTGGTTTGAAATAAGCGCTCTTTTGCCTTTTCTTCAATCTGCATCCTTCTCAATAATGCAGGCTCCCCTTAAAATTTAGAAGCTTAGTAGGGGGTACTTGAGCAGTCCCCAAACCTCAGGGGTCTGCATTTGTTTGTCTCAGCCGCTGCCTTCCGCACTGCAGGTTGGGTAGTGGCATTGATATCTAGGAACAGTGATGTCGGGTGGTATGGCCCGGTACCACACTGGTCAGATGTTACACGGAGGCTTTATCTCTGATGATTTTTGTCCCTTACTCTCACACATTTCGTTAAGGGCTTTCCTTCCTTGAAGGACTTGGAGCCTTGAAAAGGGAAAAAACTGCAGTTTGCTTGGGGACACAGAATAGGTAGATTAGAGTTACTTTGTCATGTTTTAAGATAAACTACATTGCCAGAAAACCGATGAAGGAGTTAGTTAGCAGAAGTGGTTACATAAAAGCAGGAACTGGACCCAGAATGTTTTTAAAATACAGCTGCTAAAAATAAAGGAGAGCGCTGTTTGCCCTGTGCCTGGGTGCCCCGACTCTGCAAAAAGCTGTTCAGGGCACAGTCATGGGCCAAACCAGGATCAGTTTTGTGCACTGCGGCTCCCGTTTAACCTCGATGGCAAAGGCATGGAAACAGACAACCGAGAAAAACCGTTTTTTTTTTTTTTTTTTCTTTCCCCTCTGAAAACAAGAGCAGTTGATGTGCCCTGGTTTCATATTAACATCGTCACGATTTCTAAATAACAACGGTTTCTGCAGCAGGGCAAAACCAGGCACGGGCAGGCTCCTGTGAACAGGCTTTCATCTCCCAGAGCATCTCATTGCTCATCAGAAACCTCAGCCTGTGATTCTAGAGGGCTGGATGCTTCACCTCCCCCAAAACAATTGTTTAAAAAACCTAAACCAGGGCAGGAAGGTTTTCTTAATTGAGAAGAAACAAACATGAATCTTTTGAGCACTCTCAACACAGCCTTGGCTCTAGTGGAGGCTGGGGGGGTATGACTGGGGGGGGGGGCTTGCTGTCAGCTGCCAACCCCGGACCTCCCATTCCTATTCATTCCTGTTCACGCCTGCCCTGTGTACCAGCTCCCGCAGGGAGTGTACACCATTGGCTGCCCCCTTGGTCTCAGTGCAAGAGCCAGGGGTTGTGCCATGCCCTAGGACTTTCAGCCAGTCTCCAGAAAGCCCCAGGTCATTTTTGTTTTTGAGGGAACACTTTAACATTAAGAGCACATTAATGAATAGAGCACTTTCTTGCAAAGGAGGGAAACCAGATGTTCTTAATCCCTCCTAGCTGCCCCAGAAGGCTTCTCCCAGAGAGCCTCAGGCTCCTGGCTGGTCCTGTGGTGGATGGGGCTGGGCAGTCTGGTGCAGAATACCCAAGCCAGCACTGAGTGGATGCAAACCCTACTGCCCAGGAGCACCACTGTGTGCATCCTTCACTCCTCGCCACATCACAGGTCAGAAACAGGCTGGCTGGGCTGAGGTACTCACCTTGTCAGAACTAAAAGTGGCAGTGGCCGCTGTGGCCCCAGAACTTTAGGGACATCTTGGGACTTTCACAAATATACCCCCAGAAGAGGTGTCAGAGAGGATGGTTTTAGAACGTGGTTATGTCGGGAAAGGATGGCAGGCATGGCAGAGGCTGACTGTGAGGAAGGAAAGCAGGCACCTCTGGGGGTCAAGTGCAGCTGGAAGAAGGAGCGGGAGAGCTGCCCTGAAAACCGGCACATTCTGGAGGTGCATCCAGTGGGGCCTGAGTTGGACTGGAGAGGCCTCTGGTTCCTGGTAGAAAAGTCTGCACACTGGTAGAATTTGTTGGGAGAAGCCAGCTTCCTGAGGACCACACCTCCAGCTACCGTTCCTCCAACCTGAACCCCCTCCCTTGCCAGCCCTAGAACCATGCTCAGCAAGAGCCCAGCAAGGCCTGGCCTACCTCTTGCAGCTACCAGCTCCAAAGGGACCAAAATGGAAGCTGGGAATGAGTGTACCCTCACGACAGCAGTGGGGTTTACCTGGGAGTGGCTTCTAGACCCTCACTCTAGAGTTTTGACTCCACTAAACTCTTTTGGTGAAACTAAACTTTCCTCTTTGCAAATAACTACCACTCCATTATTTTTGTTACTTAGTGGTATTTTTCTGCTCAGCCATGATACTTTTTTTTTTTTTTAACTCTGTCAGTAAATATATACCTATCTTGAAACAAGTCACTTCAAAACATGTCTGCATAAGACATTTTAAAGATGGCAATAACTTTCAGTTGCAGTGGGAACAGAGGGGAGGTACTAATCCAGTGATTATTATTATTATTTTTTTGGCTTTTTTTTCTGTTTCATAAATCGTAAGTTCTCAGGATAAGTAAAACCAAGGTCCACCCTTACTCTCCAGGGCCACCCATGAACTCGTTCCAGCTCTTTCCAAAGAGGGCAAGGGTTGCTCAGAGAGCATGAGCCGGGACCTCCTTTGTCAGGACTCTATTCTGTCTATGGTCAGTAACCTGTATTCTTTCTCTCTCTCTCTCTCTTTTTTTCTTCTCAACTTTTCAGGTAAAAGTACACCTGTAAACCAGCTTGGTTCCACAGACTTTCCCGAGCCCCCTGATCCATTCCAGCCACGAGGGGCTGACAGCAGTGACCCGTTTCAAAATAACAAGGGGTTTGGGGACCCGTTTAGTGGAAAAGATCCATTTGCTCCCTCCTCTTCAGCTAAACCTTCTAAAGCCTCTTCCTTGGGTTTTGCAGACTTCACCTCTGTAAGTTGAGTCTCCCTCTCCTTGCCACCCCTCACTCTCCCCCTCCCCACTCTGCTTGCAGCTTTGTTGGGGTCACTCCCTCTTGGCTTTTGTCTCCTGGTACACCTTATGCTATGTGTTATTTATTCTGTATTGCTTCTTTCTGTAAGAAAAACCGTTTCTCAATAAAAGAAAGAGCTATGGTTTGGATACTCTATGATAAGGCCCCATTTTCTTCTAGCAGGGTGGCTGGCCAGCCCTGTTTCTGTCATTCACGGTAGACTCAGCGTTATTTCTGTTGCTTGGAGGTCCTTGTGCACATTGATTTTTGGACTGAGCTGTCAGATGCTGCTGAATTTTGGAAACAAGATTGCAAAAGTTATGATAGGGTTTCATAGTCCCTGAAAAGATCTTCATTCAAGAATTATGATACCCATCCCATCCACCCGCATTGTGTGCAAGTCTAAGTGGGAGAAGCCAGGCAGGTGCACATGCTGAATTTTTAGTAACTGTTAAGTACTAGACACATTGAAAAGAGAAATATAACCTAGAGGAACCACTCTAAAGTTCTTTGTTTTGCTAAAGAATAACCCTCAAAAAACCATCTAGCATAGTTAAGTGCCTTTTCAGGAGCAAATTTTGAAAGCCTGACTGTTTCTCAGTGTGACAACACATGCTAGATAATAAAGTGCTATCGCTTTTTCGGGAGCCCTGGTGGCACACCAGAATCACATCTTGGGGAACTTCACATGCGCTGTGGTGTCATGTGCCTGCTTTTAGAAAGGGTTTGTTTCTTCATTACTCTGACAGAGTACTTTGTTTTCTCATTAGGTGTCAGCTGCATTATTTATAGATGCTTCCAGTAGTACAATAGCTTCCTAAAACAAGCTGTGCCACATCAGTGCCCAGGGAGTACCCAATTTGTTTCCATCCAGGTTGGGCACAGCCGTCCTGTGCTTACTGAAACTGAGCAAGGTGTTGGGACCCATTCGTGGCCCTTGGTGACCTGTAAATATTTTATGACTACAATTAGCTGGGTTTTGTTGATAGCCAGTGTTGATAGCACTGTGAATGTATACCAAAGGCAATGTTATTAATAAAAACCAGAAATGAAACCCACTTTGTCTACAGTTTCCCCACCTTTACTTGGTGATGGAAAAAAATATTAAATGCTTGGGGTTTGGGGGGATGAGAGCTATTAATGCAGGATTTGGAGATTCGGACACTTTGGGGTAGGGAAGGGGGAGGGGTTAAGTGGATTTTAGCAGCAGTTTGGAGAAACTGTTCTCTCTCTGGAACACCATTCTACTTCCTGTGTTCCCTCTTCCCCAGCCTGGCTGCTGCTTTTTGAAAAGCGTTTTCTGTTTGAAAGTACCCAGGGTTCAAGTTATCCTTTGCCCATGCATTTCTGGTTGTTTCAGTACAGTTGTTAACTTTTGATCTTAAAATACAGCCAGTATTTAAACACCTGCCCAGTTTTCCCAAAGAAAGTCCCATTGGTGCGCTTCAGCCCATTCAGGTGGCATGGGTGCTGCAGAGATAGGTGCCTCACAGGCTGTCTGTGCCCTCATCTTACCCTCGTCAGAAAAACGCCAAGTACAAAGCAATTCTGCCTCTGGGGATTCAGGAGGTCTCCGATTTCATGGTATCCTGGGACTTAGCCCTGTGCCTTATGAGTTCACCAGGAAGACTTGTGCCCCCACTAAAACGGCCAAAGTGGCTCCTCTGCACTCAGTCTCCCCGAGTCCACTGAGAGATCTCCCACTGCCCAGTGGCCCGGCCCTGTGACTCTTGGACCTTGAGAAATGCCCTTACCAGTGTAATAGCAGCCTGGTACCCATGGAGCCCGTTGATCTTCGAGCCTTGAATTCCTACCTATTGTGTCATAGCTGTTTACAGGCAACCTCTTCTCCGCCATTTCTTTCAAAACAACCTTTCTGTTTCGGGCATGTGTTTGTTAGTAGCATTTTGCACTGTCGGACAAGTTGGATGCAATGTCAACATGAGAATGAGTGAGCTCCTGGAAGCAGCTAGATATAACCCCACACATGACACACTATTGGGCTCTCGTGTCAACCCCTGAGGGAAGGTACCCTCAGGGTTGAGACTGCAGAGCCATTCTACAGCAGATTTCTGCTGGGAGGTCACCGCAATAAAGTTGCTTAGTGTCCTGTGATGCTTCAGGTCAGAGGAGCAGAGGGTGACCCTGTCCAGGGGTCTCCACCGGCCCTGGAAGGATTGCTGCTAATTCGAGACAAAGGGGAGCACAGACCCCCTTCTCCAGTTCTCTCTCGGAGCCGCACCAACCACGTGCTCCGCGCACGTCTGGATCCATAAGCTGGCCAGCTTGAACCGTGCACCCTGAAAGCATGTGGAGCATTCTGTCAGCACTGTTACTGAAAAAACAGATCCATTGAGTAGAGGTTGTGCAGTGATGCCCAGAGACACACGAGCTGAGTGGGCAGTGGCCTGGAGGTCTCAGGCTGTTCTTAACCCCCTCAGGCCCTGCTTCCAGCCTTCCATCTGGATCACCTGTCACTTCTTGTCAGCCCTCGCCGCCCCTCCTCTGGGTGGGTGCAGGGCAAGGCCCTCAGCCGAGCGGTCCCCTCCTGCTGCTGTCGTTGGCCTATGGACTCATTTCCACCAGCACTTGTTGTTTTTCCCTTGTTTTTTTCCTGATGAGGTGTTGGAAAATTCCCCAAAGGTTTCATGGGCGGGGTGGGAGGTAGGGGAGTTATCTGTGATCTGTGCTGGAAACATGGGGGTGGGACTGGCTTTCAGGGAATCCAGTATGGGGGCCCATCAGACCCCTGCATACTTCATACATTTTCTCTAAGAAACCTGGGTTCCTGAGTCCTTTCCTCTTGGAGATGCTCTTGATGCTGCCTCATCTTGCCCCTGCTCTCACTGGCCCCTACTGGCCCACCCAGCCTGGGCTCAGGGAGGTCCTGGTTATCCTTCCATCCCCCAGCTACACTGGGCTCCAAAACAGTTTCCCTCCTCTGCCCGGCTCTCCCCCTCTCTGAGGCAGCCCCTCCCCCTCTGGCCCTCTCATCCCTTGCTGACTCACCCTACACCCCAATTGGGCCACTTGGGAGAACCTGCAAACAGACTGGGAAACATTTAGAAACTGCCCATCACCACACTTGCTTGCCCAGGGAACTCCCCCTTGGGGAAATCTCAGCTCCTTCTGGGACCCCTAAGCTTCTCGAGGTCGACCTCTCCCGCCTATGTCTGTTCAGGTAGAGCCAAAGTTGGGCACTTGGCCCCTACCCTCTCTCTGCACATGGGTTGGTGCATAGCACCCCGATTGCTGACAGCAGTCCCTGGCTCCAGGAGCAGAGCAGGAAGCCTGGGACCCTAGCTCTGCAGCCTCCCCAAGAAGATTGCCCAGCCTCGTCTCCTGGGTGGCCCCTGGTCCATGACGTAGCTGTGAATTTCTGATGCTCCTGAGCATCTCCATCAGTTTGGGTTGTGTGTCTCCCAGGAGTGCCTTGGGAGGGGCCCACCTCTTTATCTTTGCTGTTACCCAACCTCAGCAGAGAACTGGCCGGAGCTGGCACTTGGAGGGAACCCTTACTGGGTGGGGGTATGAGTGTCACTCGGGGGTGCGGACCTACATCAGGGGCACGAGTGTGTAAGAACTGCTTCTCCTCCCCAAAAGCTAATGAGTGATTAGAAATTGCCCATCTCAAGATCAAAATGGTTTTCTCCCTTGCTTTAAAAAGATTTCTTTTTAAAAAAATCAACCATTTCAGAAGTTTCCCAGTAATTAAAAGTTCTTGCTTCAAACAACTCTGGATGGAATGGCAGCATAGCATCAGGGCTCCCTAAACTGCTCTCTGACAGGTACTCAGGCTCCGGCAATGGGGCTGGGGCAGCAGTGCCCGTTTCAAGCCCGCATCCACTTTGCAGGTCGATTGAGGGCCCCTAGCATGTGTGACACTCAGCTGTAGTGGCTGGTCTCTGGCCCAGTGCCCCTTGCCCACCAGCATCAGAAGCCTGTCGGGAGACCCCTGGCTTCCCTGCTCTAGCCCCTAGGAGGTGACTGACTTGTGCCTCCAGCTGCTTGCAAGGATGCTCTGCCCCTCACTTGCCCATGAAGCTTTAAGTTGCTGCACAGTATTGCATTGCCTGTGGGTTCCCTGAGGCTCCCAGCTGCCAGTTAAGGGCAAACTCATCCCACTTCCCCATGTATGTGGAACCTTCTCCAGACCAGGGATCAGGGTCAGGGCATGTGTGTCCCCTCTCAAGACGGGCTTCTGCTTTGCCTGGCTTTCTGAGGACGTAGGCCCCACCCCCATACACCCCATCAGCCACGTCTCAGCCCACCCACGCCACAGGCCCACTCCGTGTCCCACCTCCCCCAGCCAGCAGGTTGCCGCTGCGGGTGTGTAACCCACCTCCATTCTTCCTTTGCAGTTTGGCAATGAAGAGCAGCAGCTGGCTTGGGCCAAGCGGGAGAGTGAGAAAGCGGAGCAGGAGAGGCTGGCGCGGCTACGGCGGCAAGAGCAGGAAGATCTGGAGCTGGCCATCGCGCTCAGCAAGGCTGATATGCCTGCCGCCTAGGCTAGGGCTCAGCATGGGCCGAGGGTGAGAGGGAGGTGTGCACACGGAGAAACTCGGATTCCTGTAAGGACTCGCTGGCCAGAGGGCCAACCCCTCCGGATGGCACTTCCCGGGCCTTGGAGAAGCAGTTTACCTCCGGTGGGGGGGCCGCTGCTGTGACATCTCCATCAGGTGACAGCACCTGCCTCTTCCACCTGGACCTGCACAGGATGCCAGAGGAAGCGGCAGAGTCCCCTGGTCTTCCATCCCGCTCATAGCCGCCGAACACCCTGACGCCCTTGCGGACCCCCGTGAGACAGACACCCTGTGATGTATGCATTTGTTGTATAAAATTTAAGTTTGAATGATTAATATAAAGTATTTTAATACAAAACAAGAATCTTTTCATTAAGATTTTCTTGCGTTATGGACCATACGTGGTATCATAGGCCACAGACCCCAGCGTAGCCCAGGAAAAACAGGCAGTACATCCCTGCCAAAATCCTGCTTTTGAGTAGGCTGGGGGCTCAGTCTGGAAGTTTCCAGGATTGCCTGTGCTCTTTGTTTCTGATGTGGTAGTTGAGAGATCCTGTGGCAGCTAGAGCAGCCGCCCTTCAAAAGGAGGTTCCTGAAGCCTCATCTGCGTGGTCGGAGGCCGGCAGGCAGCCTTCAGAACCCGTGCTCAGAACTGGGACACGGAGAGAGCGCTCCCTCAGTCATAGCTGAAGGCCAGCACTGCTAGATTCTGGAAACTGCCGGCACTGCTGGATGAGCGCTAGTGTTGGGCTTTCCCCCCTTTATTCTCACTGACGAGATACAAGGGTCTGCCTTTCTCCGGTAATAATGATGATGATCTACCACAGTTGTTTCAGGCCGGCACCTGTGCCTCAAGTGCCTAGGAACTGCCTTCCCTCTTACTATCTTGCATTTGTGTGGTGTGTTTGTCACAGCTACAGGACTGATTCTGAGGCAGTATCATTAACGAAGCGCACATTCTGCGGACTTACTCTTTTCCCTGATGCCACCTGTCTGTCCCAGGACACCTGGGCACGTTTGCAGTCGCGTCTCCTCAGCCGCCTTTGGACTGAGATGGTTTTGACGATCTTGACAGTTTTGAGGAGATTCAGTCAGGGTTTTTAGGATGCCCTCAATAGGGGTTTGGTGTTTTTCTTATGGTTGGACTTGGGACCAGTTTGGGGGCCACAGAGGTGAAGTGCCCTCTTGTCACAGCATGTTCAGGTCAGTTGTCATCAGTGTGACTGTCAATGTGATGGGGCTCTGGTCACCTGGAAATAGAATTATTTTTGAAAGGAAGCTTTTCAGACCCAGATGTTTGGTAACATAGACTCATCTCAGGGTGATAACCATGATAAAGTAAACCATAAAGTGAGGTTTAGGAAGGTTAGGAAGTCCTAAGAGTTGGGATTCCCTAGATCCATGGAATGGCCATGTTTCTCTGTGGTCCCCGATGTGTGTGTCTGGGGCCTGATATGGGGTTTGTGGGCTCTGAGGTGCCCCGATCCCCTCTGGAGGAGTGAAAAACTTCCAGAATGTGGCCAGAGGTGAATCCTAAGGCTTCCTCTCCTGCTTCTAATGACAGAATCATCAGAATAAATCTGAGAGTCCCAGCCGTGTGCCCTGCCGCCACATTCCTTTGGGGAAAGCACTGTGTCACCTCTTCAAGGCGATTACAGTCCCCACCGGAACATGAGGCCCTCACTCTGCTCTTGATGAAAACCTCACAGTTTGCAGACCGTTCAAATTCCAACATCTCGCCTCGGAACAGCCTTATAGGTGAGGAGGGTGAGTGTCAACCCATTTTGTTTTTGGGAAAACCAAGACTAGTTCTAGTTATTGGCCAGAATCCCAAAGCTAGCAGCAGTGGTAGGTCAGCAGCAGGTGGCCTTAGAAAAGCTGTGTTTCTTGGTGCCTGCTGCTTCTTCACATAGCCATCGAACCTAGAAAAGTCAGGAAGATCTCTTCAGGTAATAGAAATGGAAACACAGTCTGTGCTTAGAAATTCTGACCTAGGAAGATATGGGCTAGGCTTGGAAGAACCCACAAATACCTGAATGAACATTTGCATGTCTCCTGGTTTTTGTGGGGGTTATCCAGACATTGTTCTTCCAATTCTTAGAAAGATTCTTAGAAGCACCCCCAGGTTGCAATCCTATATATACACACATACATTGATACCCTTGCTGTGTAAATAACCAGCCTCCCATCCAATACCTACCCACCATTTTGCCCTCTCCCATAGGCACTTTCTGTCTCTTTGGCACAGAACACTCGCCCCCATTTCTGAAAGCCAGTATCATGTTTGCATAAACTCAAATGTGCAAACATGGCAGTGAGAAAAGTCCAGTGATGCTGACACCATCACCTGAAGTTAACTCTCATCTGCGTTTTGCCACCACTTCTCTAGTTCCTTCCTTCTCTTTGCAGAAATGTAAAAGACATTAAAAAGGAAATGCTTTAACCATCTCAGTCTCTCTCCTACATCCAAGCACCAGTCACTAAGAAATGTGGGCATTTCTTCACACAACTGCCATACCGGTCACACCTAACAAGAACGGCTTTCCTTCTGTCAGTCGCAATTTTCACATGAGCTGAAACTTTGGGTTTTGCATTGTCATTAATTCACCACTCTGGTGGTTGGAAACTTTTGTTCCCTTACGGAGGTGACATCACCCTCCCTCCACACTCCTCCTGTGGCAGCTGGGTCCTTGGCTCCCTGCCATAGTCCAGTGAGCTACCTCCAGTCACACGTGGGGCAGAGCCCAAAGGCCCAAGATACCTGGTCCAGGTAGCATTTTGGTGGGAAAAAATGACCAATTATCTGTGATGTGCTCCAAGTAAAGTGAAATTGTATCTTCAAAGCCAATTTTACTGAAAAGGACATTCTAGTCTAGTCCTGGAACAGTTATGGAAAAACTATTTTTAAAACAGGAAGCATCTGAGAAACAAAGAACCTACCCTCTTGAAATAATGGAGTAAATATTTCTACCCCCTTATCAGATCTGGTGCCTTTGAAACATGGCTTTTTTTTTTTTCTTCCCAAAAATTTCCCCAGTAAAAGTTACCAGGAGCTGTACAAATTGTATCATGAACTGTTGTTGGAAAAACATAAAGGGAAATGGAAATGTGATTCTTATCACAAGCTTATTCCAAAGAAATTACGTGGTGTGGGTTTGGGTTAGAGCTGTGTTTATGTTCAGAGGGTCTTTAAATACCTCACTTTGATTTGTGTTCCAGAGGCCATCCTGGCTCAGGTGACCTCAGGTGCGTTACTAGGCCTCAGTTTCCTCATTTGGTCCTTCACAACCAGTGAAGACCTTTTTAGCTCTGAATGACCTTATTATTATTCAGTTATCTAGAAAGGCAGGTAGAGTTTCGTTAACAAAACAAGAAAATGGAAGAGCTTGTTCTGCTGATCTCATTTTTAAATATTTTGTCCACCCTTGATAACCATTTTATAGCAAAGGGAGAAAAACCAGTGTAAATCAAGTAGTATATAATGTAATGCAATAAAATATTTCCCTTTGTCTGTGGCACACAAAGCAACAAATGAGTGGACTATTTAAAACAAAAATAGAGATTGTAAGACCAACTAGTGATGACCAGAGGGGAAAATGGAAAGGAGCTAAGTCAGTTGGATAAAAGTGGTCAAACTGCATGAAGAATGGGATTGGGCTGGCAGTGGTGGACTTGATATAGTACAGATGAAGCACACTTGAAACTCAATGTTACAATGCAAAGTTGCTTCAATGGAAATTTTTTTAAGATAACATTAGTATAATAGATAATACATCAACCATACAACATGCAATCATATCAATATAGCAATAATGCACTCTAAATCATCAATAATAGAATTATATATAACATATAAACTTAAAAAACAAGTATAGTATTAAGACATACTAGTTTAACAAATAAACAACTCTGTGTCTTTCCAATGGTTTTTCTATGATAACCTTCAACCTTGGTGGGTGGGGGCAGTGGAGAGATCCTTTTCTGAGGCCCAGAAGTGGCCTTTTAAGATAGTGGTCTGCAGTGAATATTGTTTCTTTGTACTAAAGACAAAGGGCAGAGTTTCCACTCCAAGAGCCAAAAAAAGACCCAAGATGTAGCCATTGTTCAATCGTAAACACACTTTTAAAGGAAGTAGGTATTCTGGAGCTAAGAGAACAGCGGGGTAGACCAGAACTCCAAATCATTTCCGGTTCTAGATCCCAGGATAAGAGACATATGGCTTCTCTCCCCCCAAGGGAGACCAGAGAAGTCACAAAGTTACCAAGAGGCCGTGGAAAGGACACAGCTTAGAGTCAGAGCTGGTGTAAATCCAGTTTCCCTCTGGAGAGTAGGATGACCTTGGGAAACTCACTTCACATCTTGGAGTCACTTTCATCATCTGTGACGTGAAGATCATGATAACATCGATCTCTTAGGGCTGTTGTAAGAATCTACTGCAGAGTTCCTGCACATTCCAGGCGCTCAAACCAGGTAGTAAGAACAGTAGTAGTCATCGTTTGTTTACTTTATTACTAACTGTGGTAAGAAACACATAACATAAAATTTACCATCTTAACCATCTTTACAGGTACAGTTAAATATTTACAGTTGTGTCACAACTCTCTCGAACATTTTCACATTTTCATCTTACAAAACTGAAACTCTACACCATGGAACAAGTTCCTATTTCCCCCTCTCCCCGCCCAAGCCGGTAGTAGTGGGTTTTGTTATTACTAGTTCAGAGAGTTATTATTAAAATGATGGCTGCTGTGATAGTGATGGCTTTGGGTTTTGCTAGCGGGGTTTAGATATTCGAGTTCTACTACCCAGGAACATGCTGCGAAGGAGTGCTGACCATATTAAATGAGCTACTCCATTATTTCTCCTTGTGGGAGTCTCACTCTACCGGGAATTGATCCACACCATGTGGATCACCTCTAACGCCGGGATAGTAAATTGTTCAGTAGACCAGCTGTGACAATAACTGATCAGTGTGATTGTGTGAAGGTCTCAGGACAGAGTGGACTGAGTGCCTTGTAAGGACCAAGTCCATGATTGGCCACCATTAGGGAAAATTGCAGTGGTGTCTGAAACCCACATCTAACTCAGAGCCTTGGGGGCTTTCCACTCGAGGGGACAGATGCCATTCGTGTTCAGTGGCACTGCTGGGTTGTATCATGAGCTTGTCACTGCTTCCACAATGGTTACTTTTATAGCTGACTGTGAAACTTACTGGAACTGGCTTGGCAATTGTGGGTTGACAACATCTGCATTTAAACTTGAGGAATTGGACTTCGGGAGCCCTAAGTAATGGGTGGTGCTTCAGGTCCCTGATGAAGATATTTTCACAAAGCAGAT